CAGAACATAGTCTTTTAAAAAATGATGGAAGGAGCATGCAAGGAAAAAGGATAGGTAGCAAAAGACGTGATGAGAAAAGATTTGTGAGGTAAAAACAGAAGACGGCAAAGAGAAAGATAGAAAAAAAGATAATGAATAAATAAAAAGATAGCTAAACGTGAATTAGCTCTGGTCTAACATTGCACCCTAGAGGATGGCACTATAACATCCTCCATACATTGATTTATCAGTGGCATCAGTGGTTTGCAGAAGGGAGTGAAGAAGATCTTATGTCAGTAAACAAATGTATGGGTCCAAATTTCTAGTTCAACATAACCTAGCTATTGCACTTCAGTAATTCATGGTTTAGTATTGATTGTCTTTTAAACAGCAGTTACTTCTATGAAGCAATGTGAACAGAAAGCTCAATAAAGCCTGGACTTGTAGTTCTTCATCAGATCAATTTAAGGGTATGTAACGTGATGAAGGAACCATTTCTCCCCTCTAACAGCTGTTCTGTTTGACACAGTGTCAGTGTGCATGAAACAGGCTCAAGGTCATGCATTCACTTCTAATGTTTACATTCCAGCAGTGAAGACAGAAGAATGAAGAATGAACTCTTTTCTTTTAATTAATCAAAGAACTCTATTTTAATAAAGCTAATCAAAACAACTGTTAGTCAATAATAACCATGTGACCGATCTGTGAAATCACAATGTTATGATTAATGTTTAATAAGGAAATGACGTATTGTAGCCACTAGTCACCTGATACACAAGATAAACAATCATGACACATTCCAGTTGCAAATCCAATCAGAACCTCCACTCTGAAGCGTGGCAGAGTCTCTGTGGTGTTTATTTAATCTGTCAGCTGTGATTCGTCCAGAATCAGTAAACATCAAGATTAATAAGTCAGAACAACGCCATTTTGAGTTCAGTATTCAGCCAGCTCTCTAGATCCTCTGAAGTTCATCATTGCTAAGTGGAGTACGGACCGGCCATCTGTACTTTTTACTTTTAAGCTGAGAACTGCCAAGCTGGGAAATCCTGTCGTTGTTATCAACAAAACAACGGTTCCTTCAGAATAAAAGCTGAACTCGCTGACCCAAAGGGGTTTGACGCTGTGAAACACCTGCCGCTTTTTACCTGGAGACTATCCAAAGACTGGCTTGTCGTGCTGAGAACGCTGTTTCATCGGCTCCAGTACCGTTGGAAGTTCACGGACCTGGCAGCCTGATCTAAGACGGGGGTCTCACTGACGGGTAAAGTAGAACGGCACAGATAGCGTCTCATGTGTCTTCTGACCACGGTTCAAACGTTGATCAGTTAGGAGCAAAACATCATCTCCCACTCAGACTCTTGGTCTTAATTCTTAATGTCGAAACATGTACGGACACACTCGAGGGTAAACATTAATTAGCACCGAAAGTAAACCTGCTCATCTTTTTTTAAAGATCAAATTCACTCATTTTTTTCAACACATTTGCAGTCTCTGATTAATGCCTTGTGAGTGGATCTCTGTGGGGGGAAAAGCTCTGGAACGCCTGTTTCAGGAACTAGAAGGGAGCCAGATAAGAGGTGAGGAGAAAACAGCAGAGTTTGGAGTCTTACTTCCTGATATTTGGGCATCTTGCCTCTGTTTGGCTAAAAGCAATGCCACTCTATCACTGGCTGTTTGCTCTGCAACGTTGATGTTTTATCTCCACAAATAACTCAACTCTGGAGGAGTTCTGCAGTGTTGTGGAGTCAGGTGCGCTATGCTCTCTTCTGGACGCTAAACCAACAACAGCCATCCCCGTCACGAGCCAAGGCGGGTGAGTCCAAGACACTGACTGGCTTTTCTAACCAGAGCGTTTCTCCGTCTATTTTCTATTGGTGGCTAATGCAGGAAGTAGGAGTAGAAGACTATTTTTATGTTCAGTCTGCATGTGAAACAGAGTAACCGATCATATTTCAAAACATAAGAAGTAGAAAATGGCTTCTCAGTGATTTGGTCTTTAAATGAAAATAGTTAGTTTGTATGTAAAGGTTAAAACGTGTTAAAACAAAAGTACATAAATCAAAGTGTGTGTGGTCTAGCATACAGTACCTGGTCCAAAGATGCCTGCAGCCTGTGTGATTCCACCAGTGACCCCTGGATCAGGGCGCTGCTCGCTTTGGTTTGGTTTAAACTGTCTATCAGCTCCCTGTTCTCAAGAATATTGCCTTGAGCTGTAGCCAAAGTCTAGTGTAGTAAAAAAAAGAAAAGACAGATGGACAGGCTGCAATAAATGAGTGGGACAGTTCAAACAATTTCAAATAAAGAGTATGTCATCAGGCTTCTGTCATTTAGCTGGTAGTCTGTGATCCGATATAAAAGGATGAGATGTTGTTTGAACTGTAACAGCCTGGGGGAGGAACTTTCTTTCTTTATAAAAAAAAATAAGTGTTCAATGAGTGATACAACACTCCCACTAATTTCCTCTGGAATCTATTCTCTGAAACGAAGTAATACAATTTATTCAAATGAATTCAAGCAAAATAGATGAGAAACCAGCAGAGCATGGAAATGTCAAGTCGAATATGTCCCTCCGATTCAAGAATTATTACATGTCTAGCACTACTGAAGCTGTGACATCTGGCTGGTGGTATTTCTGGCTGGTGGTATTAACTGTGTGTGTGTGTGTGCGTGCGTGCGTGTGTGTGTGTGCTTTAACCACACAAATAAATGCTCCTTCGGTTAAGTGTCTACGTATCAGAATGTCTAAACACAGGCCTGAAGGTGGATTATAAGCACAGACTATTGTTTGGTGATTGATTTTTCCTGGACCTACACACAGCCCACACATGATGTTGCTGCTAAAAATTTGTTCCATGTTTTGAACAAATATTCTCATTATTATTAAGGTATTATTGGGTGGAAGAAAAAGGTTTGGCAAAAATCAAGAATTTCCATGGAAATCGTTGAGCTAACTACTGTTAAGCTAACTAATCTTTATAAGTTTTGATTTGCCACGACATAATCAAACCCTAACCCTGTGTTTCAGGTGGAAATATTCACAAATCTACCAAGCTAAACTTCATTAAGCCCCCCTAAGGCATCCCACTGATTAAAGGTGGATGTGCAGTGCAGGAGAAAAGCACTCCTCCAGCACTGTAGGGACATCGGATCAATAATGAGCCCTGGTGCTTCCAGCTTTGGCAGAGAATTCCAGCTTATTTATCTGGAAGGGATACTGAATGCGGCACCAGCAACTGCTCTTGCTCGATCTGTACACGCTGCCTTTTTCTGTCTGCTACACCCTCATCTGAAGAGCAGTGGGAGTTAGCAACGACAAGGGCTGCAGTGCAGGGGGAGCTAATTATTTCAAGCTCAGAAAAGAACAAGAGACTTAACAGTATTTTTACTAAAGACTGAATAAAATACAGTATTTCTAAACTTACAGGACAAGTATAGCCAGCTCCGTGGCCTAGTGGCAGAATCCCTGGGACTTGGAGATCGGGGATCAATTCCCGGTCGGGTCATAGCAAAAACTTTAAAACTGGGACCCAATGCCTCCCTGACTGACACTCAGCTTTAAGGGGTTGGATTGGGGAGTTAAACCACCAAAATAGTTCCCGAGCACAGCCACCGCTGCAGCTCACCACTCCCCTCCATGGGGATGGGTCAAATGCAGAGATGAATTTCACCAGTGTGTGATGATGCCTATGGGACTTTCACTTTAACTTTATAACATGAGTATGTTGTGTGTCAGCAAGGGTACCTCTAACAGAGATTCCTCCAGCTGAGCCAGCTGTATCTTCTTGTCCTCCTCTTTTTGCAGCAGTCTCGTTTTCTCAGTCTCAAGTTCTGGCTTCTCATGCTGGATGGTTAAGGCTAGCAGCTGATACACAAACAAACACCAAGATTACCATAAAATATTGTACTTTTTCATTCAAAATTATTTCTTTATGGTGGATTTTTCTGATGAAACATCGAGTCAAACTGTAAACTCTAAAGCTATAAACACGTCACATATATCATGTCACATTAGGTACTTATTTTTAGTTTCCCAATTTTAAGGCTGTCTGGACTGCAGGAAGAGATCCTTCCTGAGCTTTATGTGTGTGTCCGTTGGGATACCTGTCCTCTCAGGCCCGCCCTGGTGGTAGTGAAGTTGACCTCCGTCACCACAGAAGAAGCATCAGGAGGGATGAAGGGACTGGGATTCCGAGTAGCCAGGAAGAGACGGAAGTCCTCGTTGTAATCAATAACCTTGTCTCCTATCTGAACCACATATCTGGGACCTGCAGAAGTGTGTGTGAGTTTGTGTGAATATTAGGAAGGTGAGTTACAACATAGCGCTCCATTCAGACAAATGGTCACTTAAAATCCTGTCTGTTCTCATTTACTCTCTGCCTTCTGTAAGTCTGCAGTGCAGCATTTCCATGGCTTTACATTGACTCTTTGTTTTTCTCGTGTAACTAAGCAGCACTTAAGTGAATAACCTGCCCTTTGCAGAGTTTTTCTGTTTCTGCTCTTTCCAATTCAGCATCAATTTGACATTCTCCACTGCCTACATGATTCAGAGTTGTATGAATCATGCTCATTTTCACAGATTAGAATTCAAGTCTTTGTTAACATGTCTGTGATTGCACTGAAATTACCTACAGTCAACCAAAACATGAAAATATCACCACTTATAACAGGTGCTTCAAAAAACTGCAGATATATTGATTAATTATTGATTTTATTGTTTGTCCCCTTTTGTAATAAACAAGATTTAGTATGTTTAAAGGGAGACCAGGCAGTTTTGACTTGCTTTTGGCACCCCCTAGTGTTAGATTGTAGAATCGAAAGCAAAACATATCTCCTCGCTGTGCGTTCATTGTTTTAACACCTTCATCTAACAGCTGAAAAATCTCCCAGCTTTCCTTAGTGTCTACAGGAGTGATTCATCACTAAACTTAATAAACCAGCTGTGTTCATGATCTAAAACATGCTGGAAGCAGACTGCAGCATCAGGTATGTCTGCTGCTCCATTTTTTCCTATATCCCAAACACACCGGACCGGCTCCTCTGAAGTTACAAATGGAATAATCTGGTCACGGTGGAAATAGGGTCTGAGTGACACACACACACACACATACACACACACACACACACACACACACACACACACACATACACTCATTTGAGCAAATACTAGCTAAAGAAAATGATTTATAAATATGAACAAGTTGCAAACTATCCCTTTAAAACCAGTTATTACAAATATCCTGAGTTCTACAAGAATAACTGGTGCATAAAATAGATATATAAATTAGGGAATTATTTATGACATGGGTGGATGTACATTGTTTTATAACTGCTAAATGTGGCAATATGTTGTATTCTTCAAGTTTTTAACTCAACTTCTACGGTAAGGAACACAGGCCAAATATCCCATGGGATGTCAAGCTTCCACATAGAAACGGACACATTTCCTCCATTTTTCCAGCGTACAAATAATGTAAATAGGCTCAAATAGAGAAAAAAACTTTTATGAGAACAAAATTAATCATAAAAGATAGTAGTGGTAATAGGAAACATCTAATTTCTTATTTTATTAATAGTATTTATCCACTCTGTTCTCGCTATTTCCCATTACTGAATAGTATTGTATGTATTGTATGGCTTTCTTCAATATCCTCATTAATAATCATAACTAGTTGAATATATATAGTCAGTAGAATTGAGTCAGTCATGTTTTACATTTATGTGACAAAACTGACAAATACACACACCGCTTTTGACTGAGTATTTTTCTATGTATAAAAACAAGTGCATACCAAGTTACGAACAAATAACTGCAGATGTTAAACAACACTTTGCTACTTGAATCATTGTCAGTCTCACTCGTAGAGCGTAGCAGGGATCAAAAAGGTTTAGTTGGTGATCCAAACAGAGTAGGTCAGGTGTGAGCTAAAGGGGCGTGCAAGGAGGCAGAGGAGCTGTGTCGGAGAGGATGTGGCACGCTAGCTGCCGACTGACGGAGTTAGGCACACAGCAGAGACACCGCACCAAGTCGCATTGACTGATTTTCATCCAGGATATTTGGTTGTTTCTGAATGTAAACATTAATGATCATATTATTTATATAATCTGCTCATCTTGATTTTGTCCTCCATGATGTGTGAAATAGGGAAAATACCCCATGCACAAATCAGTAAAATGACGGAAGCTAGTTCACTTGCCAGGAAAAGCACCTGGAAAAGTACAAGAAAATAGGCTAAAGGACTTTGTGTGTGTGTGTGTGTGTGTGTGTGTGTGTGTGTGTGTGTGTGTGTGTGTGTGTGTGTGTGTGTGTGTGTGTGTGTGTGTGTGTGTGTGTGTGTGTGTGTGTGTGTGTGTGTGTGTGTGCGATTACCCTGTGCTATGAGGTCCTTCCTCAGCAGTGGATACAGCACAGGTTCAACACCGTCCATTTCTTGGATGATGAGAGTTTTGCCAAATCTGACTGCCAGCTCAAGTGTTGTCATGAAGTTGTTATCCTAAAAAGAGGGAAAAGCAGACATACACCTCAACTTGATCGAAGTCACAATCCTTGGTGAGCAACACTTTAAAGTTAAAGTTAAAGTCCCATTAGTTGTCACACACACTGATGTGTGTGCGAAATTTGTTCTCCGCATTTGACCCATCCCCTGGGGGAGCGGTGACCTGCAGACACAGCCGCGCTCGGGAATCATTTGGTGGTTTAACCCCCCAATCCCCTTAATGCTGAGTGTCAAGCAGGGAGGCATTGGGTCCCATGTTTTCAAAGTCTTTGGTATGACCCGACCAGGAATCGAACCCTGATCTCCCAGTCTCAGGGCGGACACTCTACCACTAGACCCACCAAAATCTAAAAAGAAAAGATGAAAAGGTAGCACAGCATTTTACTAAATCCCAGCTTGATCCTGTAGCAGGTGAGTAGAGTTCTCCCCGATATCATCATGCAAGAAAAACAAAATTACTACTTTATGGATGTAATTAATTATATTTTAAAATACTGCTTCAAATAATTAGAAAGTAAAGACTCCAACACTGAATGATGTAATTATCGTACTCAGTTGCTACAGTTAACAACTGGATCAGAGGACGAGAAGATGAATCTTAACGAGGAAAACGCGAGTAAATCTACCTGACAAACTCAAAAAGAGCCAACCCAATCTCCTGGATTGATTCAAAGAAACATTCACTTAACAGTCTTCTACTGACACCATGATTAGTTTAGGATTAGCATTGATTGATTTGCAGAGCGTGTGTCTCTGAATGTGAATGAGGGTGAAAACAAGGTGTTTACCTGCTGGCTGATAACCTCTAGTCTGTGTTCTTTCAGATGTGTGCGTAACCACTCTGTAGCTCGGGACGACGGGTCAATCAGGAAGGGACAGGCGACACTCTGAATGAGAAAAAAGCCCAAACATATTTAGGTCCAGTTGTTCTGGGAGCTCTAGAGAGAGAACATGTGAGCTTGTATCCACGTCCCATCTCAGTGCTGCTGTACTTATCGACCGCCATCACGTCCAATCCAGGCAAGGAAAGTTCACTCCTCTCCTCTCATATCAGAATCTACACTTCTATTTCACGGTCCACTGCTTGTAGATTCTCTTTCCCAAACAATTTCACACATTTTTAGGTTTGTACACCATCCTTCTTTTACTTTTCTGGACATTTTATGCAACAAGCAAACAACTGATTATCTTTGGAAGAGACCACATTTAAATGATTTTACTCATTGATTTCTCACAAGATAAAAAAAATACCCCATCAATGCAGTAAGTAACAAAAACCAAACTAGGGACGGAGACACCGAAAAAGATGGTGAACAGCAAACTGAGTATGGGCAATGAGATGGGTTCTTACCTTTAACTTCAGAGTATTTATCTGAGGCAGCAATGGTAAAAGCAACAGACAGAAACAATACAAGCAAATGGAAGACAGATGAATGGCAGTAACAAAATTATTTAGAGCACATATAAAAATACACAATGCTATTGTTCTTTTTTGAACATGTTACATAATTTCTGCTCAACATGGTGTCCAATCAGACACTGAGACATCAGTAGCACGATAAGTACAGAAACTTGACTAACTTTCTTGGTCCAAGTCAAAGAAACCGAAGCATTTTTTAAATTTTAATCATGTTACTCAAACATGCATCAACCGTTGTTTCTGTACCAAACCATCGATGAAAACCAGTTCCCCCGTTGTGACTCTGTGGGACTTTTCTTAGACCAGCATCTTAGCCAGCTGTAAAGTGTGGGTCTAACCTGTAGTATAACCAGAGCGTTCTCCATGGAGAGGTCATCTGATGGCAGTCCTTGACTCTTCCAGATCAGTTGTTCGCTCTCCGAGCACAGGAAGGACCGCAAGTCAAACTCTGTTTTGAAAACACACAAAACAAGCACACACTTTGTTTTGGCCTTTGGGATTTATTGGGCTTTTGACTGGTCTTCCCAGAAAAGCTGTGAAGCAACTGCAGCTTATTCAGAATGCTGCTGCTAGAGCAGGGGTGCCCAGTCTTGGTCCTGGAGGGCCAGTATCAAGCATGATTTAGTCTTAACTCTGCTTCAACACACCCAGTTTCCATCAGCAAATGATTAGCTGGCTTCTGCGGAGCCTGATGAGCTGCCGCACAGGTGATTTAACCACTGCATCAAGTTTGTTGAAGCAGAAAAACGACAAAACGTGCTGGATACTGGCCATCCAGGACCAGGATTGGGCACCCCTGTGCTAGAGTCTTAACAAGAACCAACAGAACCAAGCACATCACTCATGTTCTTAAATGTATACACTGGTTACTGATAAAGTACAGAATCTATTTCAAAATGCTTCTACTAGTTTATAAATCCCTCAATGGCATGGGGCCAAAATACATGTTGAATCTCCTTCCTGCCCAGCAGGGCTCTGAGATCCTTAGGAAACGGTCAGCTAGAACCTCGGGTCAGAACCAAACAGGGTGAAGCTGCAAATTCCTTTTTTTTTTTTTAACACAGGAAAGGTTTCTCTTTACCTTGCTGACAGTTTTGTTTGCGTCTGCAAAATTCCTCAGAGCTGACGCTGATGGTGGCGTCACTCCCTACTCCGTTTATCCGCGGGCAGCAGAGGACGTTGCTCTCCCCTCTCCGACAACACAAGAATCATAAACACCAAACAACAGAAATACAAAAGATGGATAAAGGAAGCTATAGAGATAAGGAGACATGGATGTGGGACTATGAACAGAGACGATGGAGTTTACTCATTGGATCGCGCATGGGACTGCATCATCGGAGAGGGGAGAGCGGGCAGCAGCGGGCGACAACGCCCTCTGCTGCCCGTGGATAAACGGAGTAGGAAGTGACGCCACCATCAGCGTCCGCTCTGAGGACGTTTGCGGACGTAAACAAAACTGTCAGCAAGGTAAAGAGAAACCTTTCCTGTGTTTTAAAAAAGAACCAAAAATGGAATTAGAAGCCAAACACAGAAAGAACGTACCAAAGATGTTTATACAAAAACAGGGTGAAGCTGCATTTAGCTACTATGCTGCACACAGATGGAATCAGCTTCCTCATGACCTCAAATGAGCACCAACTCTAGTACGTTTTACATCTAAATTGAAAACTTCCATGTATTCATCAGCTTTTGAGTGATTGTTTCTTATACTGCACCTTCTGCACTGTAACTGCTCACCCTTCAATTTAGTCTTTTTTTTTCATTCGTAAATCTCAAATTAATTTATGTGTATTTAAGTTGTGTTATCATGTTGATTTAAATGTTCGTGCTATTCTTGCTAGTGGAAAGCTCATTGAGTTGCCTCTGTGTATTTAAATAAAGATGCCTTGCCTTTATTTAATATCTGCTCAATTTCTGTTCTCTCAGTACTTTTTGGATTCATGCTGTTTTCGTACCTAACAACATTTTTCTATTAGTTTTTGCTTCGTTTTGTTTCTAGATTTCCTGTCTTGGCAGAATTCTCTGACTTGTGTTTTCATCTGTAAAATTGTTAAGTGTGTTGCACTGACCTTCAACCTTGTTCACTTCTGTGTTTGGACATTAGATGACTCACATTCACAGTTCATGATGATGAACTGATGTTGAATTCAACTTAAATAACTGGGAAGAAGCTTTGGTTCATTTTAGGTTACAGGAGGTCTTGTTTCCTGTCTTCTCCTCCAGAGAGAGCATGGACCTGAGGGTCACATGGTGAAGGTTACACAGGACAGGTTAGTGGAAAGGTTTGTAATTAGCTGGTAAGTAAAGGAGATCCATCAACTGGGTAATTTAATCCTAATCCAGCCCACAGCCTTCTGCTGTCGTTATTATCAGAAAGAAAAAAAAACACACATCTTAAATATTATTGGAATTTGTTTGATGTTTTATTATTTTCTGCATCAAACAGAACTTGATTCATTCTCCAACATTTCAGAAATGAACCACTGGGTTCAAATAAAATAACAAACTAAGTCAAACATTTCATTTGGTGTTATTTCTGACACCCTTCAACTGCGGCATAAATATTTGACTCTAAAGCTGCTCAGAGACATTAAACACTCATATATGAACCCATTATGGATGGTATTATTACATTATGTGTCCTGTAGGTTTTCAGTTTTCTTTCAGATTTTGTGAGTTTTTGCAAAGCGTGTTTTTCTCAGCCTGAAGTGTGGTGTTGAACGAGGAAACGGATTGTTTTACTTTGTTAAATCTTCTTAAAAGTTTACAATGTTTTGTCCTAACCTGTTGTGAATGGAGAGCTTTTGAGGGATGGCAGGTTGTGTCAATTACGGTTTTGATTAAAAATAAATAAATAACTAAATAAAATAAATAAAAATAAAAAGCCATTATCTGTCATCTTCTATTTATTGATGAAAACAAATTAATATGCAATAATCGTGATGCATCGGGATATCGAATTGAACCGTTGACCCAATAATCAAATCGAATCAGGAGACAAGTGAAGATGCACACCTCTAATTAAGACCTACTGTGTTAGAATGCTTGTTTTGATTAGATGCAGGAGGGTGTGACCTAGACTGAAACTATTTTTGAATTAGGTCATTGAACATAGGAGGAGGCCTCAGCTTTCACCTTTCCATGCACCTACAAAGCAGCTCTAAACCTAATTTGTGGCTTTCCCATATTCCAGTCAGAACTGACAAAGTTCCTCAGATGAGAAGCAAAATGTCTTCAGGAGACTAAAGAAGTCCAGCTGCCTTCATTTGATTCCTTGGCTTACCATGATCTGGACGACTGAGAACCAGCATTGTTTTGTTTCATTACAAATAACTATTCACCGTATCTAACGAGAGGACAGCGTGATGTGTGGGGGTTGAGGTGTTTGTACTGGCTGCTAGTACAGGACTCTACAATATGTGTTAAACTGTGCTAAAAGTACTACTAGTGTGTGTTTTTACTCTGTAGTCCCGACTGAGACATCCACTTCTCCAGACAGTGTCTTCGGTGGTCTTCAGACGCAGCGGACAGATAGGTGATGAAGGCCGCAGCGAGCAAAGCCCTGATGGGGAGCGTGTCCAACTCACTCTTTATCTCAGACATCTGAAAGACAAACGGCCGAGACAGATGAGGCTGCTGAACAGACAGACAAATGCACACACAAAAAATTAGGATACGGGAATAATGGGGAATTGGCAGGAATCAGAAGAAAGGATGTTAAAAAGAAAGGTGATGAAAAAAGAGGAGTAAACAGAAGTGTAAATGACAGTAACAGCCTTCTATGAGGCTGTGACTTCCACCTCAGCATGCCAGATGATAACAAAGCCTAATTGATTTCAACATGATCACGAGTTAAGAAACCCTTTCACACACCAACTAAAACACACCTATCTCTGCACAGTTCTCGTTCTCTCTCATATCCTTAACTAGCCTAAATGCATTAACATACTGCCATCCACAGCTACTGTTGAGTATGCAAAACTCCTTGTGTGTGTGTGTGTGTGTGTGTGTGTGTGTGTGTGTGTGTGTGTGTGTGTGTGTGTGTGTGTGTGTGTGTGTGTGTGTGTGTGTTTGTGTGCGTGGAATTATGTGAGCAGAAAGTGAACTTGCTCTCTAGCACAGGCCTTGAGTGAGTGTGAGTGTGTGTGAGTGAGTGTGTCAGCATGAGATTGAGTGTTTTAATTAAGGCGCAGACAGATGCTGTGGAGAGGACTAAAAACAGCCAAAGGGGACCCAAGGCAGCGGGATCCATCCCTCTATGTCACACACACACACACACACACACACACACACACACACACACACACACACACATTGACGCCCACACCGCCTGTTGCTCTCATGTGGTAAATGAGCCCCTGTTGCAGTACATTTGTAAAGCCTCCCACACCAGTAAACATATCAACACAACCATACATCAAACTACCTGTGCATTCCAACGTGTGTGTTCGCCATCCAGTTGTGATATGAGCTGCTGCGCTGCAGTGATCGTGCCCTGAGCTTTAGTCACCTCGGCCTCCAGCTTAGCAGCCTCAGCGGTGTGACACTGGAACCTGGGAGAGGGGATGAAAACGAGCGGTACTAATGACATATTTTACATGGAATCATCAGAAGTTTCTAATAAACAATATTTTAATATGTAAATAAAGTAATGTCAACAAAAATGCATTCAAACACCTTTAGTAATTAACCAGTGACTATACGAGTATAAAGATCCACAGCTTCAGTGTTCCCAAAATCTTTCTCAGATCAAACGTTTAAGCAACTCAGGTCTTTTGCAGCTACTAATCATTCTTTCCCAAAAATATTACATGAGTTTGTGAAAATTTGAATCTAGAGATCTGCAAATAAAACACAAATAATGCACGCACCATTTTAGAAACATGAATGCTTCCACCAAGGTAACGTCTTTTGTAGTTATTTTAAACAAACTACGCAAATTCCTTTTCTACAAGACACCCATTTTGCTGCTTCACAAACAGCAGCCTGCCTTAATAGGAAAAAAGCAATACCTTGAAGCAGCCACATGCTTGAATTCAGCAGGAATGAATGCAGATCTCTGTTGCAAAACTGCAACAATATGTTTCCTTATTTCCTACATGACTACAGTTGGTAATACAAAGTAAGAGTTTGTCAATCTAACAAACTGCAAACATGTGTTTACTCTGTGTAAATGACAGTCAAACATAAATGTGTGCAACAGAAACTTTAACAAAGTCAAATTACGACTTAGACCTGACATTTACTAAAACAGCTTTCAGTTTGAGATGCCTGTGTAAACTCGGTTCAATGAAGAGGTAAAGATACAGTTGTGGTCAGAAGTTTACATACACTTGTAAAAATTATAATATAATGGCTCTACTGAGTGTCCCGTTATTTCTAAAACTCTGATTTTTCTCTGATAGAGTGATTGGAACAGATACTTCTTTGTCACAAAAAACATTCATGAAGTTTGGTTCTTTAATGTCTTTATTATGGGTTAACAGAGAAAAGTGATCACATTTGCTGGGTCACAAATATACATACAGCAACATGAACTAGCACTTTTGGTGACTTAGAAATGTGTCAGTGAACTGAGCTTCATAGCATGGCCGTTTAACTTCTTGTGAGTGATTATGAGTAACTACAGCGGGTGACTTCTCTTAGGTCAGGTAAATAGGGCTCATTGGATACAAACGCCCACAAACGCTACAATGGGAAAGTCAAAGGAGCTCAGCATGGATCTGAAAAAGCGAATTATTGACTTGAACAAGTCAGGAAAGTCACTTGGGGCCATTTCAAAGCAGCTGCAGGTCCCAAGAGCAACAGTGCAAACAATTGTTTGTAAGTATAAGGTGCATGGCACTGTTTCATCACTGCCAAGATCAGGAAGAAAACGCAAGCTATCACCTGCTGCTGAGAGAAAATTGGTCAGGAGGGTAAAGAGTGAACCAAGAATCACCAAAAAGCAGATCTGCCAAGAATTAGAAGCTGCTGGAACACAGGTGTCATTGTCCACAGTCAAACGTGTTTTGCATCTCCATGGACTGAGAGGCTGCCATGCAAGAAGGAAGCCCTTGCTCCAAAAGCGGCACCTTAAGGCTCGACTGAAGTTTGCTGCTGATCACACAGACAAAGATAAGACCTTCTGGAGGAAAGTTCTGTGATCAGACGAAACAAAAATCGAGCTTTTCGGCCACAATGCCCAGCAATATGTTTGGAGGAGAAAAGGTGAGGCCTTTAACCCCAAGAACACCATGCCTACAGTCAAGCATGGTGGTGGGAATATTATGCTGTGGGGCTGTTTTGCTGCCAGTGGAACTGGTGCTTTACAGAGAGTAAATGGGATAATGAAGAAGGAGGATTACCTTCACATTCTTCAACATAACCTAAAATCATCAGCACGAAGGTTGGGTCTTGGGCGCAGTTGGGTGTTCCAACAGGACAATGACCCCAAACACACATCAAAAGTGGTAAAGGAATGGCTAAATCAGGCTAGAATAAGGGTTTTAGAATGGCCTTCCCAAAGTCCTGACTTAAACCCCATTGAAAACATGTGGACAGTGCTGAAGAAACAAGTCCATGTCAGAAAGCCATCAAATTTAACTGAATTTCACCAATTCTGTCAAGAGGAGTGGTCAAAGATTCAACCAGAAGCTTGCCAGAAGCTTGTGGATGGCTACCAAAAGCACCTAATTGAAGTGAATATGGCTAAGGGACATGTAACCAAATATTAGCACTGCTGTATGTATATTTGTGACCCAGCAAATGTGATCACTTTTCTCTGTTAACCCATAATAAAAACATTAAAGAACCAAACTTCATGAATGTTTTTTGTGACAAAGAAGTATCTGTTCCAATCACTCTATCAGAGAAAAATCAGAGTTTTAGAAATAACGGGACACTCAGTAGAGCCATTATATTATATTTTTTACAAGTGTATGTAAACTTCTGACCACAACTGTAGGTGAGACGGCTGCAGAGGAAGCAGAAGCGTTAACATACTGAGAAAAGAAAACTGGTAGGGAATCCACCCATTCAGTTTTAAAATCACTTTTTATTTTATTTTTTTTTTATTTACTACCTGCTTTTTATTAAATTGCATAAATTTATTTGCAAGAAAAGATTATTTCAAATTTTTCATTAAAATATCAACACAATTAAATATGTCTTCATCTATAAATCACACCTGCCAACTTCTTTATCACCTAGTGCAGCTATTTAAAAATAATGACTGTATCCAAACCTTTCAGCACTATTGATTGCTTTTAATCAACCACTGGACAACAGCAAGGTAAAATAGAAAGGAGTAAACGATAAAGTCCAACAAATAAAGCAAAAATATGAGTAGTCTCAATAAAACGTGTCAATGTCTGCTGGTTGGGAATGTATTTTTTTAAAAATTGACATGCTATAATATGATACAACAAACACCAAAATGTGAGAGAGATGTAAAGAGTAAATGAATTAACAGAAAATTAGAAAAGACCTACTTCTCCTTCAGCTTGTTGACTTTGGCTCCAACATTGTTGAGCTGGTCCTCAAGTCTAATCTTCCTGCTTTCTGTTTTTCTCAAATTTCTGTAAACACACACACACACACACACACACACACACACACACACACACACACACACACACACACACACACTGTAGAGCTCTCCTGTGAAAGCATCATAATTATATGTGTGTATTACCGAGGTAGTGCCTTTCGTAGCATTTTGTATGCTAAACCGAAATTTGTTATGAGTGATTATTTATCATTCGTTTGAGTTTAGGTTAATAACGTACGGTGAAATGTGTTATACGTTTGTACATGATGTAAATATTTACTGCTCATATTGGCTTGCCTAACTTTAGTGAGCATGTGCAGAGCCTAGGTTTGGTTAGTCGTCTGATGGTCAGGGTTGAGATGCAGCGCCGGTGAGTACGATAGTTGGTTATATTGTTAGTTAGTGATTTCTTTTGTTGATACGTGTGCCCGTGTGTCTGTACGTTTCATTGCAGGTTTACAACCTAATCACTAGTCGCTTCCAATAATTGCTACTAAAGCTAATTTGAGACGTGAATTGAGGATGCAACTGTTGTGCTAAAAACAGGTAGCGAGACCTTGGGCCGCTACGACGAAGCGTATGTTGAATCTTGTCCTGTCGAACGTCAATAAAGGAGTGACCAAGATTGAGTTGTGCCCGTTATACTCTCCCTGACACCCCTTTCAGTTGGGGACATCTTCTCACTATAGCAGGTAGCTGGGAAAATAACTGAACACACACTCTAAATAAACAAAACACTTATATATTGGTTTACTGCGTCCATTACTAAGACTGGAACAGTGTTTTGTCATGCTTTAAGTATTTACAATTTAGAAATAACTTTGGGGTAAATTAGAAAATACTGAAATATAACGCATGCTGGTCAAGTATGTGCTTGTGTCGAAAGTAATTTTAAGCGTTTTCCTTGTGGTGAGAAGGTGTGTGTGAGTATTGTTTATATACTACATAGTGGGGACAATCGTTTGTGGCGTGAGGACATTTCAAAATTGGATATTTGTCCAGTTCTCACAAAGAAACAGTTCCTAATATTTGGTTTAAGGGCTACAGTGTGTTAATTACCTTTAACTTAAGGTTAGGCTTAGGCGTACAACAGTCCCTAAAGTCGGTAGAAGTCATGGATGGGTCCCCACAAGTATAGAAAGGCAAACGTGTGTGTGTGTGCACACGTGTGCATGTGTGTGAATCCTACTCCAGTAATCCAGATTGCTCTTTCTCCAGCGGCCCGATCCTCTCCAGGACAAAGGAGTATTGCACGTTGGCTTTGACCCAGGCAGCCAGAGGAGCAGCTGCAGCACTTGCACGCTTTGCATTCTGTCAGTAAAAAACACGATCGCACCTTAAAAACAACTCGAATATAAAAGTCATGAAGTTGTGTTTAAATACCGGCTAGGACAAAAAAGTTCATTATCAGGGATTGTCATAAAATGCACATGCTCATTTTGCTGCTACAACTGCTGTCTGACCTTGGGGTCAAAAGAGGCCTTGTTCTTGTTGAGCAGTTCTTCGACACTCAGACGAATCTCAGGAGTGATGTTCCTGGCTTCAAATGTGGCTATGTCCTCCCTTACACCTCGCTTAGCCAGAAAGCTGCAGGAAAGAGCAGAGATAAGCAACAGAGACCACTGGATCTCCTACAGTTAGAGGTAAATCGATTGAAACCTTTAAAATGGAACATTTTCCCTCTTTTACACATTTTTCCTGTCTCTTCCCCTCCTCACCTCTTCATGCTGACCCAGGTGGTGTCAAAGATGCCCATCAGTCTCAGCACGCCCTCCAGTATATCTCTGATGACATCAGGGGGCATCCGGAGGGAGCGGATCTCAGACAGAGCTTCAGGCTTGATGTTTCCAACCGCACGCTTTGCTTCATCCACCAAAGGCTACAAGGCAGCAAGAGTGAAGCTAGAGATGAGTACAAATAGGACTAGAGGACAGTGGAGGGCACTCTCTTATTAATCAGTCAGAGAACTTGCCTGAACTTCTTTGAGCTCGTCTTCAATTTTGGCTTTTCTCTCCTCAATCTTGGACACCTCCTGAGCCATTTTCTCCTTTATCTTTTCCATTTCCGTTTTTTGATCACTGGCATTCTTAAGAAAATTAAAAAAAAAATCTTTTTTACACTAACACAAAGACTATCTCACACAGCTCAACACTTGAAAATATGACATATTAAAGCAACAACAAAGTTTTAACAGCTATTGCTTTCAAACTGATTTCAGTGGTTCTTGAAGAAGAAGAACTTCACATGGAACACCACTCTGTTGCCCTCTGATGACCAGAAACTGCACTAAGCAACTTTGAGGTTTGAGTAAAAACAAGTGAGAGGTGGGGCAACAGTCAGGGTGGAGTTTACAGCGCTGGTGGCTCACATAATCGCTAGCGTGTGTGGTTCTCGACCGGAAAAGGGCGGCTTGCCAACTCCGGGTTGGGAGAGAGGTCCAGCCTAAAGTGGAGGAGTTCCAAGTATTTCGGGGTCTTGTTCACGAGTGAGGGAAGGAGGGAGCGTGAGATCGACAGGTGGATTGGGGCAGCGTCTGCAGTGATGCGGACGCTGAACCGTTATGTTGTGGTGAGGAAGGAGCTGAGCCGGAAAGCAAGGTTCTCGATTTACCAGTCGATCTATGCCCAGTCCTCACCTACGGTCAAGAGCTTTGGGTAAAGACCGAAAGAACAAGATCGCAGATACAAGCGGTCAAAATGAGTTTTCTCTGCGGGGTGGCTGGACTCAGCCTTAGGAAAAGGGTGAGGAGCTCAGCCATTTGGGAGAGACTCGTAGTAGAGCCGCTGCTCCTCCACATCAAGAGGAGGCAGTTGAGGTGGCTCGGGCCTCTGGTAAGGATGTCTCCTGGATGCCTCCCTGGTGAGGACATGCTGGAGGGACTATGTCTCATGGCTATATATATATATATATATATATATATATATATATATATATATATATATATATATATATATATATATATATATATATATATATGCAAGCAGAAAAACAAGAGGTGGAAGAAGTTTGCTTTTTGTTGACAGTGTGGCAGAGCCTGAAAGTAAGAAAAAAGAGTGAACTAGACAAAGAAAGAGCAACACCAGAATGAACATCGGTGCCGACTATACTCTAAGCCAATGCAGGGTTTTTAGGATAGTTGTGGTTCTGCTTTCAACCAGTAGGGGGTGAAGCAGCAGACTCATTAAGTGTTACTACATCAGTATTAAATTTTAGAATAAGAAAATGTGACCAAATTAATTTAGAATTAGCCAGAATAAGACACAATAACAGGAGAAATAATGTAAAGAACACAATTTCCCCAAACTAGCTGTCTGTGGTCGTTCCCTCTAAGATATCTATCCATAAAACCACATTATATCCTCAACCAAAGTTAATCTCCTTATTGACATTCCCTACATCCCTCAAGCTCTCCCAAAGTCAAGAGATCACTCTGCAGTATAAAACCCTTTTTTTTTTTTTTTACAAACCGTCCGCTCTTTCCTATTTCACTGTTCTCTAATCTAAACGTTTCCATCTTTACCAAACTTCAGTCACAGTTCTTGGTTTGTTTTAAGCCATCATCTTGTTTTCCCAGATATCCTCGTTTCCCCCTTCCCGTTGTCTCCATCTCCACAGGTGGTGGAGCTGCTACAGACCAAGGGGATGAGCTTGCTTGTTAATTATCACTCTGCAAACTGCCTCCACTGACAGTTTGTCCTTCTGCTTTTGCTCTTTCTTTTCATTTTTCCTCCTTATCTAACTCAAAACAAAATCCCCACAGAGTAGAGAAGAGAACATTTTCATAAATAATCAGCAGAACTCATCTAACTTTCATCAGTCTTTACATTCATCTGTCTGTTCTCAAGAGAAACAGAAAAAGAAAAATTGAACCAAGGGTGTCAGGAGATGGGAAGCTCTGGATCAAAAGTCACAAAACAAACAAATGTGCATATATGCTTGTATACTAAATAAACAAAGGATTTACTGCAGGGAGAACACAGCCTGGGGAAATCTGAGGAAAGTTTCATGTAGAGGAGTAGAGGTAGTTGAAAGAGACATGAGGCCCTCTAGGAGGACACTTTAGCCTCACTACTGATTGCAGCAAACATGCATATGCACAAAGACAGCAAAGACAAAAACACACACCTGCATGGAGGTGGTGATTTCCTGCAGGGCAGCATCTGCCTCCTGCTGTTTGGTTTTCAGCAGGGCACTCTGCTCTGCAGCCCGTCTCTTCAAATCATCAACCAGAGCTTTAGCCTCATTCAGCTTGGACACGCCTGCCTGCAGACACAAACCATCCCGACATTTGACAAATGAAATGTATCTAATATGCAGGCAACATTGTGCAAAGACATTCAATTGGGGTGTCACATCTAAGTACATGCAGGCAGGCAACAATAAAAAAACCAAGCCGTGTTTAAGTGTGCGGCAAATTATACGTTGTTGCAAAATGGCATGCAAAGATTGTTCTGTCAGTGACTGAAATTGGAGTTTTCAGCTAGTTTTAGCAAATTTTAAACAGTAATTTATCACATTTATTCCAAACATAAGGGGAACTAGACAGTTTTGGCTTGCTTTTAACACCTCCTAGTGTCCGTTTGTAGAACGAAAAACAAAACGTATCTCCTCGCTGTGCGTTTGTCTTTTTTGACGCCTTAATCTAACAGCTGAAATGTCTCCCCAGCATTCCTTAGTGTCTACAGGAGTGATTCATCACTAAATTAAACAAATCAGCTGTGCTCATGATCTAAAGCATGCAGGAAGCGGGCTGGAACCAGACTGCAGCGTCAGGTATGCCAGCTCAATTATCATCAGACCGGACCGGCAACTGTGAAGTTGCAACTGTGGTATCCTGGTCACGGAGGGGCGATAGGGGCTGAGTGGCCTTTCATTAACCCTGTAAAAGGTCACTTTAGCACATAGTGGCTCAAGAAAATGTTTTAAAATAACGAAAAAGTTGCAGAGTATCCCTTTAAATAATGTTTTCCATATTTAACATTGAGCTCTTGTAGGAAATGAAAAAGTGGTGCTGTGATAAAGCTAAAGTTACGTCAAGAAACCTCATATAAGAACAGAAGGTAGTAATGAAAACCCTTGATGTATGCACCCCATTCCAGCAGGTAACATGTTACCTGCAGGTGTTGCTGCCTTGTAGTCAGCTGGTTTTGCTTCCGGCTGAGTAAAGCTGCATAAACATGCAGAAAGGACAAGTACTGGCTCGGCGTGGCACCGCGATCCTGACATGACTCATGGACCAGTAGGAACAAACGACCCAGGTCTCCATGATCCGGCCCTGCAGAGATCCAGCAGTTAAAAGCTTATTGAGCATAAACTGGTTTAAAACTATATCAAAACTCTCATTACATTAAACACAAGCAATTACAAATAAATAGCCAAGCTGATAAGCTTCTAAACTACATTATGATTATTATAATAAATTATAAATTTAAGCTAATTTTTTAAACAGTTATTCCAATATTTTCATCAGTAAAAAATGTTAGATTTTAAAAGTCACTTTTATTGGTCAAATGCAGAGATGTAATTTCACCAGTGTGTGTGATGATGACTAGTGGGACTTTAACAGATGAGACATTATAATAATTGTTATGGCTACCAGCCTGGCCAGTGAGATGAAGGAGCCAAGATCACCCAGCCATGGTGATCAGCCTGACACCACCCCTCCTCCTCCTCTCTCCCAGGCTGCTGAGGAGCACAGCTGAGCTGAATCCTGCTGATCACCAACACCTGGATAAAAAGGCTGTGCCTTCAGCAGGCAGCAGTGCAGGGGTTCTGCTGTACTCTAGGCATCGTTTTGGTTTTAACCCCTGCGTTTTGAGATGAGTTAACTTTAAGGTTTTAACTCTGAGTTATGAGCTTTTAAAGGGTGAAGTTCTTGGATTATCCAGGGGGATCTTTTGATGTTTTACGTTGATTAAAGGGTTAACTTGGTTTGCTGCAATTTTACTGACTCAGGTTTTAAACACCTGTGTTGGTAAAACTTTTACAGTAAGTTTTTACCAGGTGTTTTAGGTCAGTAAATTGTTTTAGACGTATCAACTTCTGGATTTCAAAAACGCCTCCTGTTTGGTAGAAATTTTAATATAAGCTTTAACCAGGTGTTTTTATAGTTGGTAATTGGTATAATGTTAACCTTTTTTGAGTTTTTGTTTGTTTTGCATTATCTTTATAATGCTCGCCATCTGTTTGCTCTTGTTTTTAGAACCTTTTACAACAATTAAAAGCATTTTAACTCCACTGTCGTATTTCTTGTTACCCCCTCCTTCACATTTTAACATCTCCTGTCGGGGACGTAACTATAATGAACTAGTAGCTAATCTTAAATAATCCATAGCTCTCTGCGACATTTTGCTTGTACACATATATTCCTACCTGAGTTTTTCCTTTTGCTGGCCGTTTCTTTTTCACCTTCTCCTCCTCCACCTGTTTTTTCCAGCAGTAGTTCAGGAATCTGACACGGATGAGCAACAAAGACTGCTAAAGTTATGTTGAGGGTTTTAACATCCAACTCCTATTTGTTCTGCACTGACCTTCTTCATGCTGCTCTCAGACCAGCCCTCCATCCACTGGACAGAACACTTGCGGTAAAAGGCTGGGTTGCTTTCACAGTTGATAGTGAAGTTAGAATTAGAGCAGTCCATGATCAAGACGATGTGAAGGTTCTGTTGGATTCCTGGATCACAAGTACAAAACGGAATATTTTAACTTAAGGAAACCCCAAAGTGTTTAACACTTCAAGTTGTTGCTTTCAAAATGGTTTCAGTGATTCATAAAGTTGAGCAACTTCCCACTGGACAGCACTCTAGCCCTCTGCTGACAAGAAACTGCACCTAACAGTTGGGGTTCAGGTAGCGACGCTAGTGGGAAGTCTCTACCTGCTTTACGGCAATGGCTGTTTATTGTGCTGGTAGCTAATACAAAGACTAGCAGTTAGCTTTTTCAGATCAACGACCATCAATCAAAAAGCACAAGAAGAAGAATATTTTTGCTTTTTTTGTTGGCATCATGGCACAGCCAGATGGTAAAAGTCAGCATTTCACCATTTTAAGATGGTAAAAGCAAAGAGCTAAAGCCAGAGTGAACATCTGCACGGCCTGCGCTAGTCTGAGGGAACTAAAGGATGCTACGAAACCACAGACTGATGGTGATCTGGACTTGTTGCTGCTGGACTTGGAGGTAATATTATTATTTGGTCCAACAGTGTGGATCTTTTGACTTTGTGGCTCATGTAGTAAACGTTCACATTTTGGACAGAGAGGACAGGTGGTTTGAAAGAGGAGTAAAGGAAGTCATTTGTGTCCACTGTGAGCAACCATCTTTGAACAGAGGCGGTGGTTTACGACACCAACTGTCTGCCATCTATAATCCAGTTTTGAGATCCCTTCCCAGATGCCTCAACGCCCACGCATATCCTGGGCCATCTGACCTCAGGAATTCACATGATAGGGTGGGGCCAGGCTTCATAATGAGCTCACCCGAAACTCTGGCTGAATAGGACCCACACCCACCCTCACACCTTGGCTCATGTGTTTATGTAGATCATCAGGGGTCTTTTGTTCCCTCTTCGGGGGGGAAACTCCCACTGGGTTTAAATCTGGGACTCGCCACCATTTGACCTTAGAACTGAAGAAGCCTCTCGGATGAGAGGTGAAACGTCTTCAAGCAACTCGAAGTCCAGACGCTTTTCTTTCAAAGCTCATTAGACTCATGTAGTATCAGTTGACTCATGTTAGCATTAGCTCATTTTTAGCGCTAGGCACAGCAGTCTGTGGCAGGATTTTGACAACAATTTTAATTCCACTTTTAACCAGTAGGAGGGAAACGTGGAAAACCCATTTAGCGTTGGTGTACAAAGGGCTGCGAAAAGAGAACGTGCAGACAGGCACTGTTTATTTTTGTGTTTCTGACACTTTCTGTTGCCTTCATGTTTCTTTTCCCAGCAGAGCTGAACAGTGATAGTGAGCCGACGGCTCTTTAGGTGGTTAACTGTGACAATAATAATAGAGCTATTGATTTGATTTGCCTCAGCCTCTGAGACATGGCATCATATCTACAGCTCACACCACTGCACAGCAGAAGAATAGTCAGATAAAATCAAATAGAACAACTTGGGAGAGGAAATTACACTTGTCTAATAGATTTACAGAGAAAAGAGAAGCGAAGCACAATATACAGTTTACAGAAAGATGGAGAAATGCTGACAGACTAAATAAAAAAGACTGACAAACAGAAGGACAATACTGGGGATGATTATACCGTACTCACTGTAGGAAAAGTAGTCATAAAGGGGTCTGGTGAATCCATCCTGGGAAGCAGAATCTTTCAGAGATGAAAGTAAAGGTTCCAGTTCTTCTGGGCTGTAGAGACCTGGAACTTCGCCTGAGATAAATACTCACTTAGAGGCAGCAAATATTTAGAGATACAAAACTCAGGACACGTGTTTTAGGGAAAACCATCTCACTTTCGTCCAAAATACCACGAGGGCAGACAAAGTTAGGAAGCAAAGCAACAATATAACTCACCAGCCATCCTTTCTACCACTGGCCTACTGACATGTATCCAAACCCCTTGATTGTTTTTACAATATTGAATTGAATCATTTATTTTGTAAATACTTCAGTAATTTGTAAATCTACTGTGATCTATTTTTCTTCTTTTTTATGATGATTCACTATGATTCTTTTTTTTTAAGTAATGTTCCTCTCTCCTAGCTTTTGAGTGTTTTGCTGACATCAAAGTAATTTCTACTCTTTTTTTCAACCAAAGAAAATTTCTAATAATTTGGCAAATGACAAAGTTGGGTTTTTGTTTTCCTTTCAGAATTATTTTCACATCGTTTCTCGACACAGAAGCTATAAATCATATGAATGCATTGTGAACATGAAATCTCTGCTACCCTTCAATTTGACTTTTCTTCACTCTTAGTGAGAAACAATGTATTCGTAAATGTAAAGAAATGTTATGCATTTCATAAATCTACAGATCAGCATTTTTATTACCATAGAGTTACACAGAGAAGATCAAATCTGCCACAATTCTCAACTTTAAAGATGTGGAACACTGAAAAAAACATTTTTTAATGATTATTTCTGATTACAATGAGTCCCTCTGAGTTTTTGTGCAGACTGAGCATGAACAAACATCTCCTGCACCTATCTCCTGCATTAGCTTCTGATAGAAAATAGGCAGTGAAACTCTAGAATTTGAAAAACTTGAAAGATCTACATCACAAAGTCAGTTAACATTCATGGACCCACCCATGTCAACTCATGACAGGGAAGGCTGGTGTTGGTGTAGCGTCCAGGAAACAGCAGACAACGTATTGGCTAGTGGAAGCTAACTGTTAGCATTAGCAACTCCACCACACAATAGAACTCCTCCAAGCTTGTGTTATTTGTGGTGATAAAACATCCACATTGCAAAGTAAACAGTCAGCGGTAGAGTCATGCTGCTGTTATCCAATCCGAGGTGAGATGTTCAAATATCAGGAAATAAGACTCATAAATCCTTTCGTCTCGTCCCCCCCCCCCCCACCCACCCACCCACCCACCCGGAGTACAACCTACAAATAATTCAATCCTACTAGAGACCACTGCAAATGTGTTGATGAATGAGTGAATCACACCTTTAAAATCTTTTTATCTAAACATACAAAAATTTGAAATTCCAAAAAGTCAGATTTTAACTTTTAAAACTGCAAACACACCTGATGACAGCAGGCTGTTCACCATCTCTAAGAAGCCTGGGTGAACAAACTGGTAATCCTCCAACAGTAAAACCACCTGTTGACCTTCCAGACCAGCCAGCTGCATCACCTGGATGCACACACACACATTTATTACGCACATGTCTGATGCATAAAAAGTAAGATTTTATATTCAGACACAGATACAAACTTTTCCTCTTACAATCATCTCTGCTCTTTGCTTTCTTTGGAAACAGATTTTGGTTTTTAATGGACATAAAAACAGCTTGCAGATCTTCAGCCAGTCACATCAAATGAATCAAATCTTTCTTACCGCTTTGAGATCATTGCTGAAATGTTTGAGGGTGTAACCCCGTGAGATTTTTGGCGTAAATCTTGTGAATCCATGCATGTGCGACACCAGGCACGTCGCGGTGTGTCGGCCTACTCCACTCCGACCCGCCAGAAGCAGAGAGCCGCCAGGGCGACTAAGGACCCGATCCACCCTGGACACAAACTCACACACCTCCCAGAACAGGAGGAGGTCCAGCTCTTTGTTGTCACGGCTGTACATCACTACTCCCTGGAGGGAGGAAAAAGGAGACCACACACGTGAAGGTGAATTAAACCAAAACTCTATAAATTGTATTATTCTTATAATGCAACAAACGAAAGGGAAAGACTAGAAACGGTTCCACATTCCAAAACCAAAATGCTTCATTTATGCAGACGACTTCAAACACAAGACAGACAATAAAAAACTCCACTTCTTTCCTGCATACCTTCTGGATGACTTGTTTTAAATCAGCAGAGTCCAGGCGACCCAGCTGTTTACCATGAGGAGGCAGAAGCTGGCCTGGAGCCATCACAGATCTTTCAGAGGTGCCCCATGTCACGTAGAATCCATCTTCAAACCAGGAAATGATACATGCTGTTAGTAACAGACCAGCGTTCGTTGTCCCACAGACATTTTATACCATCTAGAAAACATCAGATAAGATCTTTAATTCTTGTATAACTTATATCTAACTCAGAACTGAAAGGCAGATGGAGCACTGGCATTTTGCCAACATCTCAACTTGTAATAAGGGGTAAAGAAAATCTACTTTTATCAGTGAAATCCTATCAGTGGAAAAGAAGCATGCCTAAAATGAAATGATAAATGTCATCCTTATTTACAGAGAGTAAACAGACCATATGCAGAGATGTCACCGAAGCTCTGAGGTAATCTATTACTATTTTCCTTCAGGTGTGAGGGGCATTCTGGAAATGCTGACATGTACTGGCTTCAACAGCATGACATTCAGTTTAAAAGAGTCATCCCTGCCAACAATAAATGCAGGAATGAATTAAAGGTATGTGAAGTAAGAGTGACATCCTGTGGTCACTTATGGGTACTGCAGTCCTTGAATCAAAGCAAAAGAGTCAGCTCTGAACAACTGTTGCCAGTTACAGATCAGTGCCAGAAGATTCTAGCAAAGATGAGTCACACACAGCAAGTTGATGAGTAGATAAATACATGTCTCTGTATATCAAGTTGTCTGTTATTGGAAAAGTAGCTTAAGACGTGTTTAGAACAGTTTATTTGTTTCTAATTCACTGTTAGCCTTGTTAGCTCAATATTAGCCTCTAGACTTCTTTACCCAATATTAAAGTATGCTGTGATTGCCAGTCGGTCAAATTACAAATGCCGACACAGACTTATCAACCCCAGGGCTCCCATGTGATTGGCTCTGGAACCAGGAAGAGGTGGGAGAGATTCTAAACAATGACTACATCCATCTTCTGTCTTTTTAAAAGAAAAAAAAACCTGGCACCAAACCAGCCGGCTGAGAAGGAAATCTGTCTCTTCCTTCCAACACGATTTAGTCATTTGATTGTTTTGTGATTATGTCTCAATAAAATCGTTACTTATTGCACCTTTATTTAAACAAATTATGAGTTATCTCATACCGGTCATGTTGTCTAGAACGTCAGAGCCCCAGTCTCCTCGGATGATGGAGGAAAGGATATTATCAAAGTTGTGAAGATCTTTGGAGGAGACTAGCCTGTCTCTAAACAGCCTCCTGGCCTCGTACGCCACCACTTCCATGATGCTGTCTGTCAAATTTGATTGAGCTAAAAAATAGATGGATGGGACAAACACAAGAGTGGGTTAATGTGTATTGTTTTGAAACAGGAATTAAGATGTTACATGAGTTTGGTAGAAAGAGAGGATGCTAACACAGGAAGTGGATTATGACTAGTCTGCAAAAATGATAAGTGTGTGGCAGTTGCCACAGTAACATCTATGTGAATGTCAGGATGCAGGTTTTCCCCAACACAAGAATGACATTTGAACAAGAGGAACAAAGGCATTTTCTGTCAGTGGTAATAATAAAGTGGCAGATATTTGAGTCTAAAACACAACAATTGTAGTCTAACACTTGTTAAATCACACGTCAGACTCATCATAAGCACAAGAATAAACGGAGTCAAAATGATTCCAAAGAGAACATGATCACATACCAGAAAGGAAGTAAGCAGCGAGGCAAGGAAACAGGAGGGGGAGACGATAAAGTTATTTGAAAGAATGAAAATAACTGGCAAGGAGAATTTGTTCCATTTGACATGTCTAGTTAATATAAACGAGTGGATTCTCTATCACAGCAGGGACATGAAACTGACAGAGGAAACTATAAAAGGAGAGAAGAGGGAGGGAGGACAAGAAAAATGTCAGAAAGAAACTAAGAAGGGCAACAGACAACGGAAAGAAGAATAAACGTGAAAGTTAAAAAAACAAACTAAGAGATCAGTCACACTTTAGGTGTTTCCCCCAGGCACCAAAACTTCCTAATAGCAAAATATTTTAACGCGACGAGTTCTCTACGGGCTTGATGGGAATGCAACGGGTCATTGAATTCAGCTTGCTGGTTTTATTTAACAGTAGCTGAGACTATAAATTAGCCTTTTACAAACCATTAATCAAATCGTTTGGGTTTCCTCAGAGTAAAGAAGGCTGGTGCTTCTTTAATGATTCCTACAAAATGCTGTTTTTAAACTAAAACTGAATGGATTTAACAGGGCTGAACCATGTAAGAATCACTACCTCCCAGGGTGGCAATCGTAAGCTTTATGTTTCTACACAATGTGTCTCAGACGAGAGACAAATCTTTTTTTGTGTCCAAAGTTTGTAACTGCTAGCTTCAGAGTTACAAAGTGAGACCAGGAGGTCAGTAAAGATTTGCTTATCTAAACCAGAAATTAGCTGCGACCACTCTTGCAGCCAATGTGCAGCAACACCCTTCTAAACCATTACTAAGTGCATGATTTGTACATTTAGTTTTATTATACAAAATGTTTTACCCATGTAGCCCACACCATTATCTCTTATCGATTCCCAAACAGAAACTTTCATAAGGTCATCCACAAAGACTGTTTAAAAGTTAACGGCTGATTTGCATGTTTACCCTTTAACCTCACCACATAACTGCCAAAATGCACAAATACGTGTTAGCAGAGGTGAATTCTTGCATTGGATGTTGATTACCTGCAGTAAGGTCGTATCTCAACAGACTGAGGACCCATTCAGTGAGGATACAGGGGGTGAACAGGTAATGACTGTGGTCATCCACTGTAAACTTTGCTCTAACCTAAAAGCAATCAAACAACCACAATGCAAATTAAATTAAGACTAATCATTTAATAAAATAATCATTTAAAAGAATATTTCTGCTTCCCTAAATATTCTACTTGTGCAATTATTAATAAATATTTACATGAGCCTGCTTGACACTACTCAGGTGCAGCACAATACTGCAGTAGAGAACCAGATAGTTTACCTTGATGATAAAATCATGTTACTTCTTGGGAAAAATCAAGCACTTATGTTTTGTTTATTTGCTTAGCATGTCAGAGCCTATAATGTTGATAGAAATGCTCATTTAATCATAAATAAATGCACCATAACATGTAATACCTGTTCATAGAGCTGCACAAGAGAACCAGCGAGCTGGTGTATCTTTCCTGTGGTTGCCCAAGCTGCCTGGCTACCCAGGCTATGCTGGAGAACAGGTTGGAGGTAAGCCGAGTAGATGGTCTGTAGCTGCTCTCGGTCTGGATAACTAGAGGTAGAGTAAAAACAGAACTTTTTTTGTTTCCTTTATGACTGTTGGGGGATGTTGAACATAAGAATTACAAGTGCATCGTACTTTATTGTTTGATTTTATGGAAGCTGCTCCATACTTACTCGATGGTGCAGATCCGCACAATCGATGAGAACCGGGACGTGAGGGCATGGCTGCCAACAGCACCCCCTGTTGACATGGAGGCCACGACCTGAATATTCTCAAGACTCACCCACTCTAGATTCTCGTCGTAAAACCCCTTATATGTCAACACCTGCAGCAAAGATTTTGTGTTGTTAAGTTATGAGAGGGTATCTGTCTTCTTGTTGCTGTATCATGCTAACCTGTTGCAGGAAAGCGATGAGGTTGCTGCTTCCCCATTTGTCTGGTTTAGGGAGATTGATGTCCTTTAAGTAGAGGACCAGGTTCTCGCAGTCCTTCGGTCTGAACACGCGGCCAGTGTTGGAGCTGAGCAACAGGCAGGTCTGGCTCAGCTTCTGTAGGACATGACGGGACGAGGTCTGGGCACTGCAGTGAACCACGGCGACTTGAGTGGAGCGCAGATGTGAGAAAGCGTGGCGCAGAAGCATGCTAGACAGTAAAGGGTAAACAAAGCAAGGTTACAAAAATACATAAGTTATTTGTATAAAATACTAAAAGCTCCAATTCTTGCAAAACTTCCAGATACAACATTTGTTCTGGCAGACCTAAAGGCAAACACACATTTTCTGAAAAATAAACACAGGTGTTTATGTACACTCATTCTATTATATGTGTGTAAATAAATTGACTGTTGCTTTGTAAGGAATAATCTGACAACCTAGTGGCCTCGCTGGCAGAGAGACCTTTTAAACAAAGTGACACGTGACAGGGAGGGATGAGAATAAAAAAGGCCGAGATTCAACTGGAGTGTAAAAGGCAAACTGAGTGACCATTGTTCTTCAAATCCCTGAGGAGGGAAGCAATTACTTTTGAAGGAGCAACTCTTGGTGCACACACACACACACACACACACACACACACACAAGCCCGAGTGCAAGATACACACATCTATGCGCCCACAGGTCTGTCTGAGCTGTCACTGCATTTACAATAAAGGTCAAGTTTTAAATTAAAGTAGATTTGATTTTACTGTCATTTTAAGGGTCTGTATAGCAGCGTATCTGTCTTTAGTGAACAACTCACACATCATAACAAAAACCTTTCTAACCTCTCATCTAGGAAAAGAAGAGTGTGATATTTAAGTACGATAAAGGTTTAGTAACAAAAGTTAAATAAGTTTCTGTATGTGTCTGAACATAAAGTGCTGCTACTGTCTGAGTATGCTACAGTCCTTGTGTGTGCACACTTGTATAATACATGTGTAATTACCCTTTTCCACAGCCCTCAGGCCCAACCACCATGAAGGGCTGCCTGTGCTCAGCAGTGAGCCACGGTGAGAAGCCATGCAGCCCTCTCTGCATGCCGGGCGTCTCTATAACAGGCATCCTGTGAGTGTGGAAGAACTGCTCCAGTGCCAGATTCTCAGGCCGCTGGAACGTATACGCCGCCAGACGGCCGCTGTCACTATCAAAGAAAGTGTCGAGTGGTTTTCGGGCATCTGGGGGACTTTCTCTCGCCCAGTTCATCAGCTGAAGAAGCGAAGGGAATAAGATCAAAAATCATGAATGAATACCTGTTGTTGACTTTACTTAGAAGAATGAGAGATTTCCCACCTCTTTAGCAAACTCTTGTCGAGTTTTGAGATTGAGATTTCCACCCAAGCCTCTCAGAAGGCCCACGACAAACTGTCCCCTTTCATTAACAGCATTAAGGTGCGATAGTGAATTCATCACTGCTCCAACCAGACTTGTTTCAACCACAAAGTCATTCTAGGGAACAGAGAACGGACATAACAACACACCAAAGTTATAGTGTAAAGGTCAAAATAAACATCAGTAACCCGGAAGATGACATATAGATCTGTCCACTGAGTCCAATTTATAAAGATTTATGAAATGGAAAAGTACAAAATGTATGGTTTTATTGGTGGAATTAAAAAACACACACACACCCGTTTGAGTACCCAGTCAAGACTTTTCTGGAAGTAGTCTCCCAGCCAGCTTTCCAGATTGCTTCTGCAACTGTCTGGCTGATTTCTCAACCAAGACTTCACCAAAGCCCCCAAATCAATGTCCTCATCGCTTCAGATGTAAGAAAGAAAAAATACACGAGTGAAGAAAAGCACAGAGAGAACTACTGACAGTACTTCAGCTCTCCTCCAGTGCTGACTGACCTGAGAAAGATCATGCCCATGCGTGATATTGTTGCTGGTGAGGCGCAGCTGAGGTCATGAGTCTCAAACAGAAAGTTGACATTGGGGCCAAACTGGATGCGCTCTCCACTGGGCATGGTCAGCAATCGATTGTCATCCAGGACAGAATTTAGACTTTCCACCCACTCTGGGTCGATGTCCCCATCACATACTATCCAGGAGTTCACTTCTGAAAAATACAACAATACATATCCATGTCCTCCGCACAGAAAACGCACAAGGATGATTAAATAAACTATTTGGGCTAAAGTCACTAAATCCCTGTGAGCAAAAGACGATGTTTTTCAGCTAACGGTAGATGTTGCCATCTTACCCTGTGGTTCTCTGACGACAGATCTGGCGCTATGAGTGAGAACGCCATCAGCCCACTCCCTGGTGTCCATGTCTATGTGTCCCAAAAGCTGCTGTCTGGGCATGGCCTTGGGATTCATGGTGTACTGCTTCACCTACAAAAGAAAATTAGCAAAATAACACTTAATTCAACTATCCTGTAACTTTAGGGGCGACGGTGGCAGAGGAACTATTTAATAAAAAGCTATATTTAAAACAAATAAAACCTCCACAGATGTTTAGAAGTGTGCAGAATGAATGTACGGTATTTTATTTAAAGGTTATTTTTTAATTTTAAAAAAATCTAATTTTTATTTTGAAGGGCACGACACTGGGTTTATGTTTACATCTACCAGCCAATAGAGGGCACCACTGCATGTTGCCAAGCAGTCTGCTCGGCACAGCGAAGCTGGTACTGTGGAAAATGGTGGACCCGGAAGCAGCTGCTTCTGAGCCCAGAGCCCAGGGGAGGGGGATGATTACCCTCTGGGATTAATAAAGTATCTTTGAATTTGAATTGAATTGATTGGTTGTGTTGTAAAGTGCCTTGGGGGGCTGTAGAACCCTAGAACCATAGGGGTATAGTATGAGTGTGCCAATGCTTTTAATGTGTGTGGGAAGGATAGGAATGGGGGTTATGTAGGGTCATTTTAATCTGTAAAGCACTTTGAGTTGCACTTTTGTAGGAAGAGTGCATTATAAATAGTTAGTTAGTTAGTTAGTTAGTTAGTTAGATTGATTGATGGATTGGTTGATTGATTGATTGACTGATTGATTGATTGATGATTGATTGACTGATTGATTGATTGAGAAGGCGCTATGTAAATACAGGCCATTTACCATTAAATAATGCTCAGAATCTAAAGGTGCATTCTGTAAAGTTACCTGGATATTTTTTTACTTACCACTTTTCCTGACCTGTTCAGAGCAGCCCTGAGCATCCTCCAGAGTGTGGACTTTCCTGCTCCGCTGGGCCCTACAATAACTACACCCATTCGTTGTCGGAGCTGTTCATTTAGCTCCATTGCCTTCTTCAGCTGGAAAAGTAAACAATCAATCCAGTTTTTTTGTTACTTCTAAACAATCCTCAAATAAATTCCTCATGTGTGACTTCAAATTCCTCATAGCAGTGCATTTTTGTCCACCCAACTTCTATTTTCACCACATATTACAAGAGAAATGAGTGTTTAGAAGTGTTCGTATTGGTACACACACCTGGCTGGGTATCAGTTCAAGCTGGGCCTCCTTGAAGACTTGGTTTAAGGCGTCCATTAATATCCAGTCCTCCATATCGGTAAAATCAACTCCAGAGAAGACATCTCTGACCAGCGCATCAAACCGAGAGCTGTCTGCAAATGTCAGCTTGGACATGGTGTTCAGCCGTAGGGCTTGCACCACCAGATTACTCTCCTGGACTGGATGGAGGTAGAAAGAAATGTGTACAATTCAGAATTAACCCTTTGGTGCATAATGGTCACTACAGTGGACAGGTACTCAAAATTGTTATTTATTTATTTATTTATTTTTGCTATTAAGTGCAGCTGTTGAAGACTTTATTGCATGTGAGCCCCTCCATTTGGACTTCAGTAAGTCAAGCCAACATATTTCATGTTCAGAACGCACGATGTCCACTGAGATGGACATGTAATAAATTATTTGTAAATTAACAAAATGTTACAAAAAATATTTGTTGAAATTTGTTTCATTCACACCAAAAGATGAATAAAAAAATTGTTTAAAAAAATCATGGTTGAAGATTTCATAATTCATGCATCAGAGGGTTAACAAGCAAGTAAAACCTAAATAATTATCATGAAAAAAATATTTCTTTGTACCATTATTTTCTTCTAAAACCAGCGCAAAGAAAAAAAGCTCTGTGAAAGTGAACTTGCTCTCTCGTGTGTTTCCTCTTGAAACTCTGCTAATTACCAAAGCTTGTCATGATCTGATCATTTGTCTTGTCTGCACTTTTGTTCTTAATTCAAGCGACGCTGGACGTCCCTGTGGGCATGAAGGTGGCATTTTATCACAGCATTCAGAGACAAACACCAGACAACCTTGGGGACTCATCAACAGACAGTGTGTGTGTGCGTGTGTGTGTGGTATCTGTTAGCAAGTTGGAAACCAAGTGTGTGGAGTAGAGGACCCCATAGGATTTGAAAGGCTGTGAAAGAGGGAATTAAGGAAAACACATGAGAAAATAGGAGGGGAAACAGAGGAGGGATAAGGATAAAAGAAAGATGGGGTAAGAAAGGATGGAGCAGGTGAGAATGAGTAGGACACAAGTAGCATTGAAAGACAGGCACCAGGCGGAAACAGCTAACAAGAGGTTAGAAGGAGGAGAAAAGAGCTGGGGAGAGGTGTACTTCTGGTAGAAATCTGGCTAAGTATTTTGGAACCAGGCAACTGGAAGGACAAAAGTACAGACGAGATAAACCTCAGAGAGGAGAGGTTTTCTGAGTTCACGTCAATTCAAGGTGTGGTTTTATGATAGGATAGGATCGTTTTTGCCTGTGTAGAAGCAACACAAGCATCTTAGTCACACACAAATAATTACCCTAAACAACATTTGTTTACAACAACAGGTCAAAGGTTGCCTTAACCCTCCCACTGTCCTAATGGGTGACCCTGCGAGGAAGTTGACCATTGAGCAGGATTGATGGGTTATCCCTTGAGGTCCACGTGGCAGGGGTGAGGTGGTGCTCACTCCTCACCCCTGCCACGTGGACCCAAAGGATAAACCATCAGCCCTGCTCAATAGTCAACTTCCTCGCGGGGTCACCCATTAGGACAGTGGGAGGGTTAAGTAAATACAAGTCAGAAGCCTCCTGAGGACCTTATTGAAGACAATTGACCACATAAACACAGAAATTCATATTTAACTAAAAACTACTATAAATTTAATATTCACAACATTTAAGAAGCAGAAAGGAGATCTAAGGTATTATTTAATATGCACATATAAAACATGAAGAGTTTTAAATGGTGAATTCTTCAGAGATACTCTGGAGAGGAGGGTCAGTTGGATTGATGAACCTCAGATTCAGGAGAAGCAATGTGGTTTTCGTCCTGGCCGTGGAACACTGGACCAGCTCCTTACCCTTAGGGGGATCCTGGAGGGTGCGTGGGAATTTGCCCAACCAGTCTACATGTGTTTTGTGGATTTGGAGATGGCCTTTGACCGCATCCCTCGGGGGGCCCTGTGGGGGGTACTCCAGGAGTATGGGGTACCAGGCCCTCTGATATGGGCTGTTAGGTCCCTGTATGACCGGTATCAGAGCTTGGTCCGCATTGCCGGCCGTAAGTCGGGCTCGTGCCCTTTGTCACCGATTCTGTTCATAACCTTTATGGACAGGATTTCTGGGCGCAGCCAAGGTGTGGAGGGCATCCGTTTGGTGGCCTGAGGATCAGGTTTCTGCTTTTTGCAGATGATGTGGTCCTGTTGGCTTCATCAGAACGTGATCTCCGGCTCTCGCTGGAGCGGTTCGCAGCCGAGTGTGAAGCAGCTGGGATGAGAATCAGCTCCTCTAAATCTGAGACCATGGTCTTGATTCGGAAAAGAGTAGAATGTCTTCTCCGGGTCAGGGATGAGGTCCTGCCCCAAGTGGAGGAGTTTAAGTATCTCGGGGTCTTGTTCACGAGTGAGGGAAAACTGGAGCGTGAGATTGATAGGCGGGTTGATGCTGCATCTGCAGTGATGCATGCGTTGTACCGGTCTGTCGTGGTGAAGAGAGAGTTGAGTCAGAAGGCGAAGCTCTCGGTTTACCGGTTGATCTACGTTCCTACCCTCACCTATGGTCATGAGCTTTGGGTAGTGACCGAAAGAACAAAATTCCGGATACAAGCGGCCAAAATGAGTTTTCTCTGAAGAGTGGCTGGGCTCTCCCTTAGAGATAGGGTGAGAAGCTCGGTCATTTGGGAGGGGCTCGGAGTAGACCCGCTGCTCCTCCACATCAAGAGGAGCCAGTTGAGGTGGCTCGGGCATCTGGTCAGGATGCCTCCTGGACGCCTACCTGGTGAGGTTTTCCGGGCACGTCCAACTGGGAGGAGACCTAAAGGTAGACCCAGGACACGGTGGAGGGTCTATTGGGCCATTCCCATCTGTACCGGGTCGGCCCGGGCCGGGTAGCCCCAGTCAGCCCCAGCCTGGCCCGGTTGATTCCACACATCCTTGTCTTAAGCCCATGTGGGCTGATTCTACCCACCAATCAGAGGCTTGCTCTAATGGAAGGTGTGAATTTGCTGTCAGCAGTGGGTGTGTTGGCCCTGGTCGACCTGAAGCAGACCCCCTCGAGAAGAGGGCTGAGAATGAGCCTTGGTTGGCCCGGAAAAATACCAGGCCACCCAGATATGTAAACAACCTACGCTACCCGGCCTGGGCCGACCCGGTACAGATGGGAATGGCCCATATGTCTCTCACCTGGCCAGGGAACGCCTTGGGATTCCCCCGGAGGAGCTGGCCCAAGTGACTGGGGAAAGGGAAGTCTGGGCCTCTCGCCTCAGGCTACTGCCCCCGCGACCCGACTCCGGATGAATAAATATTTATGTGCAACATTTTTCTAGTGTAAATGTAAACGTTTGCACCAAAGGTGTGTTTACACTTTGAGAGTATGGCTTCATTTGCTTCCTTATAACTTTCTTGTCACACTCAATAATTGAAAAAAAAAAAAAATAACATTTTAAAAAAATGCCAGAGGGAGCCTTACTCTTGTCCATCTCATGACTTCTCCTCTGCTGCTGCAGGAGACTGCCACAGGCCTTCAGCACGGTCTTCAGAGCGCGTAGACCCCAGTCATAGTGCTGCTGGGGTGTCAACAGCTCCCTGCACAGACAAATACCAGCTCATTTTCATATAGCCACACAACTGTCTCACAGGCTGTAGCACTCAGGGTTAGGCAGCAGAGGGAAATGTATTCAGAAAGTTTATGAAGCTCAATGGATGAAGTGGTTTTAATTTTTAGTGATCATCACCATGAAAATACCACATAACTGTGATACAGGAACTGTTTATTGTTCTGGTGGTGAGTTTGTAGACAACGCATTGGTGTCATAAAGTCTACCTGGCCAGGTTAAAGATCGCGACCAATTTGCGTCCCAGTATTTCTCCATCTTTGAAGCCCTCAGAGTAGAGGATGACTTCAGCGATGAGCTCGTTGTCGGGCCGGCTCATGGCCACAGGCCTGAACAGCTGCTTTAGGTTGTCAGGGAGCTTCTGTCTGCCTCCATAGCCTTTTCCTGCGGGGTTCAACGTGATGAACACGCCAGAGTTTGGATCGAGCTGCACCTGAAGGGTGAAAACATGAGGAAAACAGCTGAACTCGTTAAGAGAATGGATTTTATACACGTTTAAAGTTCAACTAAAATGAATGATGCATTTGTTTGTAACTTATGTTTGTACTTTCTGACCTCCTTCCCCAGCAGTTCGCACGTGTTTTTGTGATGTTTGAGGGAATCCTGTATGGCCTGAATCTGCATGGAAACAGCTGATAGCACCGCTTCCTCCAAACGGTTGAACTCATCGAAGCAGCCCCAAGCCCCACACTTCACCAGACCAACAAATATGCGTCCCATTGACTTCACATCGATACCCTAGAAATATAGGAAACAGGAGCAGTTGTGTTTATAAATCTAGAATACAACTGATGACTTTCTACTGTTGTACACACACTATGTGTGTTACATGGATGTGACTACTTCTAGGTAGTGATCTAAAAGACTCATCTGCTTCAAATTAAGAGTAAAAATCCACCTAGAATATTAATCTATTGCCTTCATATTGTATGTCTTCGCTGCAAAAAATAGTGTACAACCTTAGAGAAATTGTTAGCCTTGGATAAAATACAAAATCTGTCCTCATGAGAAGTTTCCTGGTACCTCGTCACAGTTGAACACCAACACCTGGCGCCCAAAAAGCCCCCCTAAGGCTTTGACAGATTCTGTCTTGCCTGTACCAGCAGGTCCGTAGGGGTTACCACCAAGTCCCATCTTCATGGCCTGGGTCAGAGTCAGGTAGCACTTATCAGTCAGAGGAGTGTGCACCAGCTTAGCCGCATTCCCCTGGGACAAAGGAGGGGTGAGATAAAGAAAAAAGTCAGCGATAAAAACAGGAAAGGTAAAGTGAAGATTGAATAGAAGGAGGGCTATTAGTAGTAGGGTACTGGAGTCAGAAACTGGCAAACAGAAAAGACAATGGCTAAAGAATGAATAAAAATCATCAAGGACAGGCAAGGAAAATGGAAAAAAGGGTAAAAGTGAGTCGAGAATGCATTTGAAGAGAACAGCAGGATGAAAATGCAGACAGGGATGCTTCTTATCTCTGCATAAACAGCGCCCCCAAAAGGTAAAAAGAGAAATTCATAATCCTGCAGCTGTAAAAAATGTGGATGTGAAAGTCTGAATAAATAAACACAACTTTTAAAAGGCTATTTACATTTAGATGGAATGATACATGTGTTTAAAAAGATACAAGACACATGACATCATTAGAGACACTCGGTGACACAAGTGATCTGTGTATACCCTGTGCTGAGCCTGTGGAGGAAGAGAAGCAGAATGTATTCTGAAAGATTTATTATATATAATAATTAATTAATTAATCTCAATTAATCGCATTTTAATCGTTCAGGAAAATGTGCTCTCAAAGTAAAACTTTTAATTAAAATTATGAGATAGAGAATCAAACATTAGACATGGTTATTACTGTAAACTAAAGCTTTTAATAAAAAATGCATTTTAATTATTCAAATGTCACTGTGTGATATGAAACAAAACCCAAATCAACTAAAATTTATAATTACAAATAGAAAACACCTGCAAAGGGTTCCTGAGCCTTTAAATAGTCTCTCTGTCAAGTTGAATGACAAATAAATTTGACTTTGCACCAGATTCATTTTTCCAGTTTCACTTTTTTGTATAATTGGGAGTTTTTATTAGCATTTCTACTCATAATGTAGTAAAAACTAGGGCCGGGACTTTAACGCGTTAATTACGATTAATTAATTCGAAAAAAATAACGCGTTAAAAAAATTAACGCATTTAATCGCAGCTTGCATTTCAAGCACGGCGGAACCTTTGTCATTGCACGATTTCCTCGTAGACTGAATATCACTGACGCACACAACAATGCACAGTGCTAATGGCTACTAAAACGGAATAAAAACAGAAAGAAGCTGCCTTGTTTGGACTGATGCAGGATTTAGGAAACACGTCCGCCTCTTTTCTTAACTTGGAAAAAAAAACTTCCAGACAACAACGGAGTCCGTGTCGCGGACAGTTTTCAGAGATCGTCTCTGCTGCGGCTGCCCAGTGGCAACGGGAACTTTACAAAAGTAGCGGTAAGCTATATTTTTAACATTTACGTAACATCTGTGCAGCGCTGAAAGCACCAGACAGAATAATTCTGTGCCCTAACAGTAGTTTATGAAAGTTGTCAGACAAACGAGAGGCACCTGGATGCCGCTGGGAGAACGCTCCGTGTTCTCACTACTCAATCACAAACAACGTGTGTTAAAGTTGAAAACAGAAGTTTAAGTTAAAACAGAAACACTCTGAAACTTTTCTGATGATGTTCTAAACAATTCTGTGGGGGAATTATATGTTTCTGAGACGAGTCTCTGTCTAAACATCACATGCAGCAGCGAGGTGTGATGAAGCTGTCATCAGCTAAGGGGCGGATGCTCAAATGTATCAGGGGCAGCGAGGAACGAGGAAGTTGTGATCAGGCTGGAGATCACACCAGATTCGCTGCTGCAGGCGTGAATCTGCGGGTCTGCAGCATCGCCTTATTAACGTGACATCAGGACTTCCCATGTAAGGAAGGTCCGCTCACCAGTTCGTCAGATCATTATTTCCTCGCCATGATCTTTTATCATCCCATCATCCTCCAGTGATCCAACTGGAACCAGTTAGTGTTCCTGATCATTCTCAGAATATGCCATGCCTGCTCTGGTGTTAAAAGTTAGTACATTTAAGTCCTAGATCATATTTGTGCCAGTTCTACTGTCATTTTGAAGGATTATTATTATTTTGAAGGAAATAATAGTTTGAGCATGCTGAACTTGTAATGAAAACGAACCCACCTGGTACTCATAAGTATAGTGGAACTGTGCATCCACCATCTGGATGTGGCAGCATTTGTCAGTTCCCATGTAAAAGCGGAGCTGTTTCTTCCAGGCCCAGTCATCAGGGCGGGTAACGCCTGCCTGGTTCAGCTGCTTCACCACACTGATGTTGTGGATGATATCCAGAATCAAAGCTTTCAGCTTCAGCTGCAGCACGCTGGACTCTGATGAAGACATGCATGGATATCAGGACCACACAATCTGTCAAACACAGAGGAAGGTGTACTTTGGGATGTTCATGCAATCTTTTTGACAATATATTAAATATAAACATCACTTTAGGTGGTTTAAAGGCATTCTGTGCACATTTTTCAAGTTTTTTAAATCATTTTCTTGAGCCAGTAAGTGCTAAAATGACCCTTTATGAAAAATCACTCAGCAAGTGGGATATTCTGGCCACAGAGAGCGGTGGCTCACTTAATGGCTCAAGAAGATGATTTAAAAATATGAAAAAGTTTCTAAGTATCCCTTTAATATTTGCTTTGAAGGAAAGCATATCTTGAAGCTATATAAATGCATGTCAAGCTGTCTCATCTGTGTGCCAAGGGGAGGGGAGGGGGGTCCTCTTCTTCCATCTTAGTTTATGGCTCTTTTATGTAAATTAGGAAATTAGATTACCCCCTGTGGCATTACTTCAGTTGTTTTAATTAGTGTGAATACTCCTCAGCCTCATCAGGTACTGCTTTATACTTAAGGGAGCCAATAATGTAATGAGACGGTATCTGCTGTTGTTTTAGATAGAAAACGCTGAGATTTAAATGGCATATGGACACAAAACGGACCGTGTTTCTCTGGACATGTTAAAGTCCTGTTCAGATATAGCTGAAAAAATAATTTACTCTTAAGTCTTTTTGTTTTACAAAAGAAGAAACAAACATGCATGTTTGTCCCATTAAACAGTGTCCCTACCAGTGTTCAGATTTCCATCTCATGCATAAATTAAAATAAACTGCGCTGGTTCAGCTACATTCTGCACAACTTTAAAAGGTAATGCCCCTAAGAGAAGATCAGTTAGCTGGAACGGTTCTCCAGGTTCTCTGTAAAAATCCCTCAGAGTGCAGCACTAGCAGCACAAAGTGAAGCAACATGAATATGTTTAAACCTTTTTAAAAGAAACAAACCTTTCACAGAGACCATATAAGTCAGTCTCCTCTGTCTGTGCAGATCAAATATCAGGCAATGTATTCATTTTGAATATTGGGGGGAATCCCAGATGAGTTTATGAGTTTAATTATGAGTTTAGCAAAATAAAGCAGAAGGATGAACTCCAGGAATTAGAACAGAGAACAGAAAATGAAATTCGGTAAGGTGAAGAACATAATTAAAGCTAAAGAGAGTGAGAAGCTCGGTTATCCAGGAGAGGCTCAAAGTAAACCTGTTGCTCCTCCACACTGAGAGAGGAGCCAGTTGAGGTGGCTTGGGCATCTGGTTAGGACGCCTCCCTGGCGAGGTTTTCTGGGCACGTCCAACCAGGAGGAGACCTAACGGAAGACCCAGGACAAGCTGGAGAGACTATAGGTCTCTTGGCTGGCCAGGGAACGCCTTGGGATTCCCCCGGTGGAACTGGACCAAGCGGCTGGGGAGAGGGAAGTCTGGGCCTCCCCCATGGCCCGACCCTGAATAAGCGGCCAAAAATTGATGGATGGATGGATGGATGGATGGATGGATGGATGGATGGATGGATGCTCATTTCTAGTGACTGGTGGTCAAAGGAACGTCAGAGTTTCTAGCAGAGATGGGAATTGTGGCATCAACAAGTCATCTCCATGCCGTGTTTTTGTTCTGTTCAGCAACTGAACCTAATTCATTCACTGTGCTGATTGAAATCTCCTGTTTTAGTTGCTGAGCTGAAGAAAAACCTGGTATGGAGACGACTTGTTGATGCCACAATCCCTCACCTCTGGTTTCTAGTATCATCGTCTCCATCTAGTACATGTTTGTTTGCATTTGTTCCCGGCGGTTGTTGACATAAACTGCATGCTACAATAAAATCATTAGAAATATATGATTCAGTTCATTTCTTCAATCTCTGGTTGAGTTTATCAGTGTCACACGTATTAAACATGTTTCAACAACAACAAAAAACATAGATTTATTAGTTTCTTGTAGTTTTTCAAATCTGTTTATCATTATAATATGATTGGAACCTGAGTTCTGCAGCTGCAAATGAGACCGTTGTAGGCCTAAGAGACGTTACACACATATTTAAGTAGCCACACACACCCTACCTGTGTTAGAATGGTCATCTGAACTTGTGTCCACAGCGGTGTAGTGCTCTAACTTGCTATTAAGCTCCACCTCCAGCTGCTGCAGATTTTGCTCTTTTATAGCTTTTTCCACATCTTCTGTAAATTGGATTTGCTCAGCCAGACACAGAATCTGCATCAAACATGAAAGAACTCAAGATCCTGGGCCGTGTGATTTTGGAAAACATCAGAACATCACTTCTTAAAAAGTTTATAAGGAGAGAAGTCGTTCGGCCTGAAAAAAAGTCATTTTCAGGACACGTAGAAGAAAAACTTTACTTAAATGTAACTTTAAATGTTTGTGTACCTGCGATGGATAGCGAGAGGGATCCACCTCTCCTTTCCTCCCAGCAGACAGACATTCATTCAGCAGATTCTTCAGAGTTGCCACCATTTCCTCGGACAGCTCACTAAGCCAAGCCTAGAAACAGGAGAAAAATGAACGTGCTGCCATATTAAAACGCTGAAATAATGGTAAAATATTAACATCTATAAGGAAAACAAATTTGGTGAGAATATTAAGTTGTTACCTCAACAAGGCTGGAGGTGTGAACAACATTTCTGAGTTGAACTACTTCTCCTTCCAAAGAACACATAGCCACAATGTTCTGGCACTGCTCATCGAACATAACGCTGTGGATGCCTGCACACACACACCACACACATGCAGAGTTACGCCTGCTCACACAACACTTAGAGTTATGTCAACATCCGAAAGATTATTCATCTTTTTTTTCGTTGAAAAACAGCACAATGAAGCAAAAAGCTACATATATAAGCATGAAAAGAACAAAAATAAAGGGTGCTAGCCTGCAAAGAGTTTCTTGAGGTGTGACTGGATGACACTCGGGTTGGTCGCTTGTCCCAGAATTTCTAAAAGATCATCATCTCCTATGAAATAGAACCGTGGGAAGGCAGAACGCTTTTCCTGCAGTAACAGCACACAAATTCAATGGCAACAGGTCTAAATTGTTGAAACAGGATTTTTTAGCACAAAAAATGGGTGTGTGTACCTCCAGAAACTCATTGAGTGATTTTTGGCAGCGCTGCATCTGATCCAGAATGGTGACCAGGGAGGTTCTGATGCCAGCTCGTGAACTCAGAGAAACAACCCTGTTGTCCCTCTGGATGTCTGACATTATCGACCTATCATGCATATAGACAAGTGTTTTGTCAATGTGCCTAAAACGCAGCACATTTCCTAAAGCTGTTGAATAAATATAAACAGTGACTATCACCTAAAATCTTCATCTACACGTTTGAAACGGGTCTCCTCTCGAGGTAGCGCTCCTCGACCAAAAATAGGCTCCAGATAAACCCAGCGCCTCTGGATGGCATTCAGATTGAGCAGGTGCTCGTCCAGGTCTGATAGGCGGACCTCCCACAGACCAACCTGAATACATATAGAGGAAAAGGTTTGGGCCGTTTCAATGAAGCTAAATCCTTGAAACTGTCATTTCATCACAATAGAGGATACATCTTGCATCGCCGTAAATACAAACAAAATGACATTTTTCTTCGTTAATTCGAAGCCGTTGATCTGACCTTGTCCTGGAAGCTGCGATAGTAGGGAGAGTCTTTCAGAGACTGCAGCAGACAGCGGTTATCTCCCACCTGTACGTGCAAAGAAAGATGATTTCCAACATTTCCCTTAAGAAATGTTGGTGCCTTTCATATAGTTTTACATAAAGGTCAATGCAGATTCATGTCCCAGAAGCATCCCAGAAACATAGTGGTTTACACTTCTGGTGCAGAGTTATCAAAAACCGTTAAGCATTTGTAATAAATTGATCACAACGGTAACGTTTGAGTCATTTTCACCTGGTTGACTACGTCCTTCCAGTCCTTGATGAGGGTTAGCGTGCGCCCGCTGCTGTCTGTGTACTCCGTGAGGGTGAATGTAGTAGCGGCTCCCCATAAATCCAGCTCCCTCAGAGCCTCTCTGATGGTCACCTCCGCCTGAGCACGACTGTTTAGATCCTAGCAGGAACATAAACATTCACACCTGCATCCCTTCTTTTGGCTAACGTGTGAATACTCTTAGCTCTACACCAGGTGTAAACAAGCACTGTTTCAAAAACACCATCACAATCGGTTATTTCTGCACCAGACAGGCAAAGTGTGGCCCGGGGGCCATCTGCGTCCCTCTGAGTGATTTTGTGCGGTCCCGACTTGAATTTCTAAAATGATGAATTTTGTCTCCCAAGTAGGCTGATGACATTAATCGACATTTTTATTTTTATGTGCAGATTTTTACTTATATGCCTATATCTGACCTGTTTTGAGAAGTACAAATGAATAAAATTACCACAAAATAATGTTTTCATCTTTTAAATTAAAGGATTGGTAGTCCCATTTAATCAATACATTTGCAGTGGTCTCTGGTTAGAAATAATGCCTTTAAGTTGTTCTCAGGGGGAAAAAACACCGGTGCACCATTTCTAGGACCTAGAAGTGACCCGCATCACAGCTGAGCTTCTGATGGCTGCTTTTGGAGTCTTTTTTCCTGATATTTGGAAATTTCGCTGTGGATTGGATAGCAGCAACGTGACTCTGCCACTGACTTGCAACATGGATGTTTTGTCTCCACAAAGTATAAAGTTGCTAATGGTAAAGATTAGCTTCTACTAGTTGAATTAGTAGTATGTAATATGATTCTTGGAAGCTAAACCAACGCCTTCCCCGTCGCGAGTCAAGATGGGTGAATGTTAAGTGACAGGGTGACGTAGATCTGTAAGGCTCTTCAAATCCTAGTTTCACCGTTTATTTATGTTTTTTATCAGAAGCTAATGCAGGAGATAAATGTAGGAGACTGTTTTCATGTTCAGCCTACACGAAAAACTCTGATTATAATCATCAATAAGATTTGAAAAAGATGTTTTGCAGTGTTTCACACCTTTAAACTTGATTATTTTGTCCCTCATCTCAAAATGTTCAGACACCCTGTCCAGACCTAAGTATTCTATCAGAATCGTTCGATGAATCCTGGAACAGAAAACTGAGCCTCTTCACTTTAAACACTGATCACCTACTGAAAGTGGCCGTATAAAGTGAATCAACTTGCTGCTTTGTATCTGTACTGACCTTAAGCTCCTTGGCCTTCTCTATGATAGTATTTGCCACACTGAGGAGGTCATTAAAGGTAAGTCTCTCCAACGTTGTCCCTCGTGGAAGACCCAGCAGGCGGAACATGTCCAGCCAGTGGTCCTGTGAGAGGTGCTCCCCTCGTACGTACTTCAGCACAGGTGCCATGTTCTAGATATGTAGGAGAGAAAATATGAATGAAAAAATACTAAATTTATATCAAAAGATAAAGTGTCTAGAGATAGTTGACTTTGTTGTGAGCGAGAAGTACAAAAAATAGTGTTTTATAAAACAGGAAGAACCAAAAACACGTGTATAAAATAAAGACCTTGTATTTGTCCACCTCTCCCTGGAGTTTAACAGACATGGCGGTCGGTGGCTGTAATTTCCTTAAATTTTCTTGCCACGTGAACAGAAACTCCTCAAAAACATACGTCTTGCTTCTACGATTTACAACAAAAACAGAAAAAATGACTTGTCAGTGGAAAACAAATAGCACAAAAATGAATTAAACAACTCCAGAGGACTTTAGAGATCTCTCATGTGTCTTGGCACTCAGACCTGAAGGTGATCCAGTCCTGCTGGGCCTTCTCAGAGAAGCCTTGCTGCCACTCCTCATACAGACCCCACATCTGACTGGTCTCCTCCATGTCTGCTTTTATTTCTTGTGCCAGAGACAAATCTGGAGGCTCCACACCAAAGTAAGCACTATCTTCACTGCAGAGGGGAGAGGGGAGTTTTAATCCTGTTAATGAACAGCACTGTCACCACGACACACATGTTGGTGCTTTGTAATTTCTTCAACCTTAGCTTGGTACATTAGCTATCCTGAATAACACAAAGTGAATGACTTTAAATTCTAAAAACATCTTCAGACTTACAGCAGCTTAGTTCGTACAAGCTCCATCTCCTCAAACTCCTGCTGCTTGTCCTTGATGGTCTGAAGACATGCAAGCAGGGCAGCATGATCATCAGTCTCCAGCATCTCATCTTTAGGTTTCAGCTGATCCCAGCGAGCCTTAAAGCGCTCCAGATCAGCCTTGTAGGCACTTGCGCGGTCTGCTGCATGACTTCGCATCACCTCCACCTGAAAATGCATGAATTGAAATGACTAAACCTTCAGAGTGAAAGCTGAATGTGGTTGTGCTCGCATCACCTGTTCTTTGATCATGAGCTGGTGGCTCTCCATGACAAGTTCCAGTTTGTCCCACTTGGCTCTCAGTGAAGACAGAGAGTCCACTCCTGCCCCGGCCACAGCTCGCAGCAGGCGGTTCTTCTCCTCAGCAAACTGGAACTGAGGCAAGATCTATGCATATACAACTGGGGTCATTTATGTGCAACTCCATTTGACATGCATGCATAAGGTAAACATCGTTTTGACAGATTTACATTTTCTATATTATAATTGTTGTTTTTGAGGGACGTAATTAGTCCAGATTTGGGACTGTATGTGTCTTACGTCTGCCTTGCAGGCTTTTATCTGGTTATATTTGCCATTAGCTGCACCAATCTCCTCCATGCTTTCTGGTCTCATGGCCAGAGCCTCCACTGACTCAGACACAAAACTGTCTATGGTTTGTGTGTGGCCTAAAAGCAGGAGAGAAAAACAGAGTTACAACAAAGAAAAGGGAAAATGAAAGAGAAATTGAAATTAGTACCAAAAGAACAGATTGAAAAAGAAAATACAACAAAATAACCAGGGAAATACATTGGGTTTGTTATATGATACGTTCTAAATGCCAATGGAATCAAACTAAAACAAGTTAGCTGTGTGTGTGTGTGTGTGTGTGCGTGCGTGCGTGCGTGCATGCGTGCGTGTGTGTGTGTTCACCTTGTATAGACTTCCTGAGGGATAATAACAGGATGTCAAACAGCCTCTGGATCATTTCATCAATGGTGGCTTTAACAGGCTCACAGTTGACTGTAATACAGTCAACTTTCTCCTGACTGACAGAAAAATAAAAGGATTTCCAGAAACTCTGCTGGTGTACATCGGGGCTAATCAATTCCGAGCACAGAGGGTCAGTGTCCAGCACGTTTTAGTGGTTTCTCTGCTCCAACACACTAAATTCACTGGATGAATCACCTGTGCAGCAGCTCATCAGGCTCTGCAGAAGTCTGTTAAACACCTGCTGACTGAAATCAGGTGTGTTGAAGCAGGGTTAAAACTAAAACGGGCTGGATACCGGCCCTACAGGCTCGGAATTGAACGGCCCTGGTGAACATTATTATTGTTAACTGAAAATTGTACCAAACAAGTAAAACCTTGTCCTCCGACATTAAATATATCAATGCTTTTATTGTGGTAACTTTTCAATTGGACTTTAATTTGAATTCATTCCTAGTGTGTGATGCGTACCTGGGTAGACGTTCAGATTCCTTCCCTTTGACCTTTAGTGCCTTAAAGTTTCTCTCCCAATCCTGCACGGAACTGAGATGTTTCTCCACCAACTTCTCCAAATCCACCTGACCTAGAACCACCCACTCCTACACACACACACACACACACACACACACACACACACACACACACACACACACACACACACACACACACACACACACACACACACACACACACACACACACACAGAGAGAGAGAGAGAGAACATTACAGTTTCCTATTTTTAAATGTGATGAAAGGTGACAGAAACTGCATGTCTCAACAAAATGCACGATGATGTCACAAAAACAGAACTAAAGCAGGAAAAACAGGAATTATGAATTTAGCTGCGGGCTTCCCCGGGTGTTTTAGATATGCATGGACAGAGACAAAAGTGAAAAGATAAAGAGTGTGTCTCACTGTTCACCCAGGGTACTAAAAAGGGGAAAGCTAAGAACAAACCATGACTGATCAAAGTGTCATTCTTTCCAAAATACCAAATCAGCTACGTGTCAAAGCGAAGGTTCACAAAGCAGAAGGCGACAACTTTTACTTTTCATAGTTATAAATAAAAAAATGTCAGAACTTCAAAAAAAAGAATGACAGTTTCAGTCAAGATGTGTCCCACTGCTGAAGACGCCTGTTGTTCTGCAGAAGAACCAGCATCATTTCTAATGTTCATTTCTGCCACAGCCATCAATAATTTTAGAATTATTCACTGCTGAAGCACCTTGAACTTGTGTTGTACAGCCTGCAGGCCGCTGAAGAGCTCCTCAGCCTTGCTGAAAATGGTAAGGAACCCTAAGGCGTTCCTATCAATCATGGTGTTGAAGATAAGCTCCTCCCCCTGGACGCTGACCCCCTTGAACTGGTTTGGGATTGAGATAAAACGCTTCATCTCACGGAAATATCTCGCTCGCACCTCCTCAAATGGTGGACGGAACTGTAAACGGCCCTGCCTGTTGAGGTAAAGACATGTTAAACAAATACAAATCACATCAGACCTTTTCATCAGAGCAAATAAAAAAAGTTTAAACAGAAATGTAAACGCCCGACTGGCAAAGAGGAAAGCGGAAATGGAGACCCAAGATAATAAAAAGTCCATTTAAGTGCTTTGTGATACCTGGGAAATGAATGTGAAGAAAGACTAAACTAAATATATATATATATATATATATATATATATATATATATATATATATATATATATATATATACGTTACAGAAACTGAAAGTTGTGCACTGACCTGAAAATGAGGTCAATATTTATTTCAGGCAAGTTCTTATTTAGGGCCTCCAGTCCAGTCTGGTACTGGTGTTCTAGGGCTTTGTAAAGCTGGTGGTTCCAATGCTGACGCCACGCCCTCATGTCATCACTCCTCAGGCCCTAAACACACACACAAGCACGCACACACGCACGCACGCACGCACACACACACACACACACACACACACACACACACACACACACACACACGCACACACACACACACACACACACACACACACACACACACACACACACGTGTATTAGCTATCCCCAAAAATTTTTTACATTTTTGTAAAATGGTCCATGTAAAAGTATATAAGGACCCCATAAAGGCGAGGCAGCTTTATTTATTTAGCACATTTCATACACAGAGGCAGTTCAATTCCATTAGCAAGAATAACAAGAACATTAAAATCAACATGACAGAAAAAACAAGTTACTAATTTAAAAGAAACTAAGTTAAAGGGTTAGCGGTTCAACATATAAACATTCATTCAAAGGCTAATAAATACAAAAAGGTTTTCAATTTTGATTTAAAAGTTACTAGAGATGGGAACCATTTGAGGTCATGAGGAAGCTGAATCCATCCGTGAGCAGCATAGTAGCTAAATGCAGCTTCACCCTGTTTGGTTCTGACCCGAGGTTCTACCAGTTGACTGCTTCCTAAGGAGGGCTAATGTGCAGTTATTAGGGCTTTGCTGTAAGCACTGAACTATATCAGTGGATTTGTGGGAATTGCCAACATAATTATTTTCTCAAAAGTACCAAAATTCTAGACTAGAAATCTAGTCAAACCGTAGCAGTAGTGAAAGGTTTTGCTCTGCAGGTCAGTATAGCCACGATCAGCAGATCTACCATTGGCCTGAACAGTTTCAGGTCCAGCCAATCACAGTGCCCTATGATGACAAAAACCTGCAGAGATGGCGTCGGCCAAGGGACGTCACTCGTTTGAATCGGCTTTGGCATCAGCTTTGGACGATTTAGACTCGGGCTTTTCTTTAGCCCTTTTAAAAGGCACACCATGCAGCGTAATACTGCTGCACGGTGTGCCTTACCAACGCGCCGTGGTGGCATGACGCTGCAGGTATTTTGCAGGATTTGTGCTGTCACACTTGGTAGTAATATTATCACAACATCTGACTTGCGAATGCATTTTACACCTTGGCACCACAGAGGGTGGTGTCACAATCATGTGGGAAGATACTGCTGAGCTCCGGCATTAAAAATGAAAGTAAAGTGGGCCGTAGGTTTACGTTTTGGAAACAGAATCAGCTGAGATGATAAACTAGAGTGAACTCCAGGAGCTTCTCCCCGTTAGAGCCGGAGGTCAGATCACCAGAGACTGCACAGGGATGGTGGAGGGCACACACCTTAAGGGGCTGCTAGTTAAAAAAAAACATAATGAGTGAGGCTTGGATCGCAATAAAAAGCAAGTTATATCCAAGATAAACGGGGGCGGTCGGACCACTTATAAATGACCTAAAGCTCCCTGATGCTGGCTCGGCGTTGCAGCCAATTGGCAGCATTGTTTTCTAAAAAAGGCTTTTCGTATGACATGAGCAGATCGACGTACTTTAGTCCTTTACTTAGAAAATTTGAAATATTTGCTTCTTCTTCGATCATGTGGGGCAGACTACACCATTGACGGATTTCCGTAGCAATGAATATGTCACATTGTTTGTTGCTCTGATTGGTCCTAGCGCTGTCCAGTTGCGTGCGGAGACCGTTTTAAAGATAACTGTAGATTCCGCCCCATGACTGAGTTCCGTCTACGGGTCGTGGCCAGATCATATACAGGATGAGTTGCCAGGCTACCAAAATTCTTGAGAAAAACTGATAGGTAATATTCTACTTTAAGTTCAAGTTCACTCAGATACTTTAAACACAATCTGTTTCAGTAAAAACGTGTTAAAAAAGGATTTTATAAAGGCCAGCAGAAAAGACACACCTGAGCCTCCAGAGTAGCAAAGCCAGTACGGAGCTCCTGAAGGCCTTCCTTCCATCGCTGCTGATGTCTCAGTAGGTCTACGTTCATGAGCGTAACCACCTGAGAAATGCACCCAGAGGTTTGGGCACAAGTACACACAACACTCAAGTTAATAAAGTTTTATTGAAGAGGGAAATCATGTAGCTCTAAGTGGCTCTGAACAACAACTTCAACCTTTTCTATGAAGTCTGTGTGCCATTTTCGGAACTTTCTGTTCTCAACGGAGAGCTTCTCCGCAGCAGACTGCAGCTTGGTGATATAAACCTCTAAATCGCTGGGATTATCCCAGGTGATCTGCAGTTTACCTCCAGATTCCTTGGACTGGGAACGAGGATTCTAACAATAAAAATGTACAAAATACAGATAAATCATTTATTGTCTATGACAGAAAATCCTCATCAGGTTCAATTTAAAGGTGACAAGCAAACTCCCTCTTCTTAACAGCGTTTGAGAACGTCACAAGCTTTTGTTTTTAAGCATTTAAATTGAGAATACATTTTAAAATGAATGAATAGGTAGAAAATGTTATTTGCTTTTATTTAGAGCAGCTAAATCAATAGCTGGTATAGCAGGTGTATCCAGACATTTCTGGAAGCAATACCTTGATAACCTGCTCAAAGTCTAGTGCAAGACTGAGCATCATGGGCCTCTGAGAGGGAATCATCTGCTGGTCGATAGTGTTGTAAAAATGGGCCACCTGAAACACAAGAAGACTTTGGTACAATACAATCTGGCAAATAAACAACATTAATAAACCGAGACACAAAGAACTGATTGTGTCCCACCTGTTTCAGGACCACAGCTTGCCTGTAGAATTTGTCTGCTGTGTTTGCCGCCTGCTGGATCTTCGCTGGGATGGGAAAACCCAGAGCTGAGAGCTGCCGGACCTCCCTGAGCAGACTGACCAGCCTGTCTGAGTACTGGATCTTCAGCCTGCCGTCCACATGGTCCAGTTCCATGACGCGGTTACTTGTCTGAAGGCTACAGAAAGAATCAGAACCAGACTTGGAAGAGAGTGAACCTCTTCAGAACGGAGTCTTACACTGCAATGCACTCTGGGTAGTAACAGTTTTACATAATTACTAATAAAGAGTTTAGTTCAAGATAAAGTGTATTTTATCATTTATATTTGATCTATTTTTATTAATTAGAATTATGCATGAAAAAATACAAAATAATTTGTTGTAACGTCCAGCAATGGTCAGTTTTTAGATACAGTTTGATCATTCAACATCTGGTCAAAAACAGACACGAGACTGCATGTGTTCCCTTTAAATCGGCCTGCCTTCATCCCATCAGCTAGAGCTCAGAGCCTCAGCAGCTCTGAACACAGATAACAGATTGTCAACAATAATGTTCTCTCCTCAAGGTCCATCCTTATCGCCCTACAGGATTCTTCATGCTTAACACTCGCAGCTCGGATCAGTTGCTAAATCAAAGAATGATTTTCTAAATTAAATATGAACTTCTACAACTTATAAGCTAGATAATCATTAAATAAACGCTTGTTTACTGCTACTTATAATAATTATAATATAATGAAATGTTTCAATAATCTGTGCTCAATGAGTGAAGTTGGAAATGAATGTTATGTTATGATTACAGTGATTGATAAATGTTTCAGCATGTTTATATGACAAGGTCATCACCATTTGCACTCACACAAGGACAAAGTAAGGTTAAGTTAAACTCATGACACATAAATAGTCCTTTACCCCAGTCAGAGCATCCGGTATCAAAGAAGGCGTGTTTCTGAGACTCTTGGTAATATTCCTCAAAATTGTCAACCTCTGGTTGGCTACACAAATCATAACATGAGAACATTAAAACCAGATTACTCTGGTGATTCATCAGTTCTAGAGAAAGTTTCAGACCGGCCATCTGAAGCAAAACCCTCTCTAACCCATCAAAGCTTTTGACACGTCTTAAAAATCTTTTTGCACCTGCGAAGCTGATACAGCATACAGTTCCTGCAGAACAAGCTGATATTGTTTAGACTCCTTAAGAGCCCCAGACGCGCAGTTCCATCCATCTGTGCTGACCCGAGACATCTCTGGACTGGAGAAGTCGGTGCTGTGGTCAATCTACTGGACCTTCGGTGCCAGAGGTCATCCGACCTCTCCGACCTACGGATCCACTAAGAGGGTTTCCAGAATGGGTGAAGTAGACACACAGATAGCGTCTGATGTGCTTTTGATAATAATCAACTTCATAGCTTAAAGCAACCCAAATTCTTTTACATCCAGAACTCAGCTCTCCTAGATCTGGAAGTTCTGATAACACCGCATTCACACATAGGTTTCATACATCATATCTAGTTCCATCCATCACAGTAAAATGTTAGTTAACTTGTCATGTTCTAAGTGTTGGTAAAATAAATTCTTACTTTTATAAACCTGACTCCTTTCTGAATCAAAACGAAGTGTGTACAATCCCTTAATAAATAAAGAATCCTAGAATCTTCTGATAAACACACAAAGCCCAAGCAGGGTTGATATTCTATATTTAGATAGAGTATCACAGCTTATTGGTCATAAGTAGAGATAATATATATTGAGCTCTTAAAGCACTCAATTTCCCAAACCCTAAAGTGTTCAAAATCATGCTTAATTACTCCAAACGACTAAATAATAGCACGGAGGTTGTGTTTAATCTAACCTGATCCCTGATTTTGGGTCAGCCAGTCCAGACAGAATGTCCCTCGACCAGTTGTCAAACTGCTCCTGTTCGTACGCTCTCAGAACTTCCAGCAGGTCATCAGAGAAACTCAGGAAGCCTTTGAACCCTGAAAGATCTGGAAGCAAAGCCTCAGCTATACGTACAGAGTCCTCCACCTAGTACAACAACGCAAAAAAACAAAAATCAGAAAATGTTTTCAATCATTTTGCTTTGAAATACTGTAAATTCAGGTCATCACAACGTATCTAACAAAGGAAAACTCTTAAGTCAGTATCAGAGGCCACACATAGAAAACACTAACTGACCTTGTGTAAAAGGTGACGCAACCAAACTATTTTGTTGACCACCTCAGGGAGGTTCCTGCCAACAAGTGGTCCAGATTCATCACCGGGGCGTCCATGGCAACGATTCTCAAAGTCATTTTTCAAGCCTAAATGAAAAAACATTAAATAAAATACACCAACAAAGAAATGTTAAATCTAATCTAACTCAAATACCACATTTCAGTTAGCACATTATTACAACAGTCCTATTGATAAATATGATACAAACACAAAAACCAACATAATGCCTTAGTGGCAGAGCTGTATACCCTTGTTGTAGTCTAGGAGTTTGGCTAGTAGTGTCTCTCTCTCTGACTGCAGCTCCTTGCTGATTTTGGGGCGTTTGATCAGCTCCTTATGTTTCTGGAACACCTGCAGAAGCTACACAACAAACACACACAGGTGTGTCATATACTGTGTTCCTCTACCCCTCAATATTTCAACAAGAGTTGACAAGGTGCGTTTTCCTACCTGTGGTGGGTTGTCCTGCACATCAGAAATGTAGCTCCTCAGTATACCAGCAGCCTCCTTCTCTGATGGAGAGATTAAACGCTCAAACTGAGCCACAGCTGCTCCCCAAAGAGGCTGAAAGACATATAAGTTTTTTCCTGACGTTATAACTTATCCAGCTGCACAAGCAGCATAAAGGACTCAAATAAAAGTGATGAAACCTTTTAGTATTTTAGAATCATTTCAAGTAGAAGTTGGTATAGAATTAACAGCTGTCAACTCCGAAATCAAAACATCACATCTGAAGTGGTTAAATGTTGGGTTTATATATTTGTAACCTCTTTTTTTACTAATAAAGTTTTTAAACAGTAGGGTATGTATCAGCAATAATCTGGCGATACAATATATACTATGCGATGTAACACGATACTAAAAGATATGATGATACGATGGGTTGCGACACTAAAAGATATGATGATATGATGTATGTTGATACTAAAAGATATGACGATACGATGTATCGCGATACTAAAAAATATGACAACATGATGTATCGCGATACTAAAAGATATGATAATATGATGTATCACAATACTAAAGGATAAGACGATACGGCGTATCTCGATACTAAAAGATATGACGACATGATGTATCGCGATACTAAAAGATATGACCATACGATGTATCGCAATACTAAAAGATATGACGACATGATGTATCGCGATACTAAAAGATATGACGACATGATGTATCGCGATACTAAAAGATATGACCATACGATGTATCGCAATACTAAAAGATATGACGACATGATGTATCGCGATACTAAAAGATATGACGACATGATGTATCGCGATACTAAAAGATATGACGACATGATGTATCGCGATACTAAAAGATATGATGATACGACGTATCGCGATACTAAAATATATATGACGACAAGATGTATTGCAATACTAAAAGATATGATGACACAATGTATCACAATATAAAACATACAATGATATTTACAATTTTTGAGGCTGAATTTTATTGGGAAACTCAGGTCAGACGCTTCCAAGACACATTCATTGTTAGCACAAGATCTTGTGGTTCCGTCAGAATGCAGGCGGTAAAAACTGCTGCCACCTAGCAGTCGGAGTTTGAGTTGCACCAGATGAAAGACATACAGTAAACATTTGCATGTAAATTCTCAATTGAAAATCAATACCAGTTCAGTATCATAACACAAAATATTGCAATATTTCAGTGTATCAACATTTTGTTACATTCCTATAAACGGTGATCATTTTGAGATCCCTTAGCAACAAAATATGGTTTATGGCAGATGGAGTTTCAATGTGAGTGATGACATATAATGAAGATGCTTATGATGCATGTTTCATCCCCCTTTGGTAACTTTCTGTTTTAGACTGTGATCATTCCTCTGAAACAAACTTTGAGGAACTTTCCTGCTGCTTTTCACACCACAAGCCCTGATTTACGTACTGACAACTGACCCATAGTTTGAGAAGTTTCAATAACAAACAGTGAAAGTGTGACGTATGTTTTGTTTATTTGCATTCAGAGAGGAAATGAGACCAAACTACGAGAAAGCAGTCGCATTTTAGTGTCACGCACACACACACACACACACACGCGCACGCACACACACACACACACAGTCAATGAATAAAGCAAGATGAAAAACAAAGACAATCTGACCAAAATCATCAGCTAGTCCAAAAAATGAGAGCACCCTCTTTCTCTGTAACTTATTAACTCGTTCCCATTATGTTTACACATCCTTTTATTGGTCACAGCTACACCTTATCAGCTTGATTATGCATCACCCACAGTATGAATTATGCTTAACTAATTTATGTAGTGTGCTTTCACCAATCTCTGAATTTCATTATAGAGAGGAGGATGTGTGTCCTACTTCATTTGCGTCATTAATGCAATGTCACCGACTCCCTAGAACTTTTGAATGTCATTAATAAAAGGAACTGTCCTGCTAGCTGGAGTTTGTGGTCAAGATAAAATGTTTTAGAGTTTCATTTATGTTAAATTTCAATAGATTCCTAAATGAATTTAGACTGGCCTACACTACCTTTTTACCAGAACACACTGTTCATACATAACTAGGGATACCTGATATTATCAGCCTAACATTAGTATTGGCAGATGTTGACATTGAAATGTAATATAGTAATTACTAGTATGGGTTTTTATAGCATGGCCAGCCATGCCAATGCTTCCTTATGGGAATGATCCCATTAAAAAAAACACCCCCTGAGAATTCTAACCAACCCAATCAGCCCTGAGTAGCATATGCCACAGACCGCCATGCTCACTTTCTCATGAACAACAAAGAGGGCGTCTGAAGCAGAGTTCACTTGATATCATGTTTCATACTAACGGTCATCTATAACAAACCTCAGTGTAAGGGTTGTAGTGCACAGGGTTGAGTCCAGAAAAAGGCTCGAACACACGTTCTGAAGTCAGAGCCTGCTGCTTCCCTCCTGATCGTAACCTCAGCAGTTTTTCGTGAACCGTACGGAGCGTCACCACCTAGTGAAACATGAACAGGTAATCCGTTCTTAAAGTATTCATTTTCCATGACAGCAAAAAACATTGAACTGTGCAAAACAGCGGCGTTTACGAAGACAATGCACTTTCACAAGGACTTTCGAAATTCATTGGAAAGTGTCAACAAGGCAATTATTTTCTCTAAAAAAAGGAAATGATACAATCCATTAAAAATGAGGCACAAGCCATCAGAATAGTCATGCTAGACATATTTAAATCAAAACAGCCTATTAGAAAAGACCATTTATTAGTGTCAAATATATGTAGCATTAAACATATGTGGTGCAAAAGCATTTTGAGGGCATTAGTACAGATAACAAGACTGACGAGGTCCCAATGCCTTCTTGATTAAAAACTGACAACTACATATGTCAGAGAAGGTTGATTAGTTCTTGTTTTGTGAAAACTCAAAGTGTAAAACATAAACAAAAATCTGAGCTGAATGTAGACAGAAAAAGATTTATAAATGTAATGTTGTGAGGTCATTCAATCCATCACCACAAAAGCACTTATTTAATAAAATGTGAAGAAGTTTAACATTTAAATTTCAGTTAAAAACAATATTCTGAAGAAGGTAAAATAATAAATCACAAATCTGCTGATCAAACTATAACTGTGGCACTTCTTTAAAGGTCATATATCATGCTAAATCCGCTTTTGGAGCTTTTGACCATGATGATGAGCTTTGTCCTGATGAAAAAACACCCCCAGAGCTCTTTTGGGCTTTACACATGCACAGGGAATGGGATCCCTGTCCAGTCTTCCTAAAGAATGTAAAGAAATGTCTGGATTTTATCTTTAGGAGCTCTCAAAACTGAGCAAAAATGTGACTGTGATTTCACAGACAACTTGTTAAACCTCCACCAGCACCAGAGTGGGTTTTCAGACGGGTTCTTCAAACCGGCCTCATTTCAACCGTACAACCACTCAGAGACAGAACTACCAAAATGCTAACCACTAGCAATGGGACAGACTGGGACAGATTCAGGCAGAGAATCTGTTACCGTCTCAGCTGCCTTTTCGTTGTTCGTGGTGTGTGTGTGTGTGGGTGGGGGGTGGGGGGGGGCTGCACTCAGTGGTAAATGTCAGTTTGAATCAGCAATCTCTGAGTCTGCAGCTATGTACTATGTCAAATTCATACAGCGGGGCAGGGTTTCATCTAACCCAGGCATCTTATTTCCAGGTTGAAGGAAAGTCTTACGATTTCATGAAAAATTATGTTTTCAACAGTGCCAACGACAATATTTTATATTACAGTGGTATGGAAAGTATTCAAACCCCTGTCAGTTTTTCACTCTTTGTTATACTTCAGTCATTTGCTAAAATCAATTAAATTCTTTTTTTCCTCATTAATGTACACACAGCACCCCATAATTACAGAAAAACACAGAATTTTAGAAACGTCTGCAGATTTATTAAAAAGGACAAACTGAAACATCACACGGTCCTAAGTATTCAGACCGTTTGCTGTGACACTCATATTTAACTCAGGTGCTTTCCATTTCTTCTGATCCTCCTTGAGATGGTCCTACACCTTCACTGGAGTCCAGCTGTGTTTGAATCTACTGACTGGACTTGATTAGGAAAGCCACACACCTGACCTGTCTATATAAGACCTTACAGCTCACAATGCACGTCAGAGCAAATGTGAATCGTGGGGTCAAAGGAACTGGCTGAAGAGCTCAGAGACAGAATTGTGGCAAGACACAGATCTGGAAAAGGTTACAGAAAAAAATCTCTGCTGTACTTAAAGTTCCTAAGAGCTCAGTGGCGTCCATATTCCTTAAACGGAAGATGTTTGGGACGACCAGAACCCTTCCTAGAGCAGGCCGTCCAGCCAAACTGAGCTACCAGGGGAGAAGAGCCTTGGTGAGAGGTAAAGAAGAACCCAAAGATCAATGTGGCTGAGCTCCAGAGATGCAGTCAGAAGATGGGAGAAAGTTGTAGCACTGCAGCCCTCCACCAGTCAGGGCTTTATGGCAGAGTGGCCCGTCGGAAGTCTCTCCTCAGTGCCAGACACACAAAAGCCTGCATGGAGTTTGCTTAAAAACAACTGAAGGCCCCTGAGATGGTGATAAATAAGACTCTCTGGTCCGATGAGACCAAGATACAACTTTTTGGCCTCATTCTAAGCGGTATGTGTGGAGAAAGCCAGGCACTGCTCATCACTTGTCCAATACAGCCCCCACATTGAAGCAAGGCGGTGGCAGCATCATGCTGTGGGGGTGTTTTTCAGCTGCAGGGACAGGATGACTGGTTGCAATAAAGGGGTCGATGAATATGGACAAGTACAGGGATATCCTGGACAAGAACCTTCTCCAGAGTGCTCAGGACCTCAGACTGGGCCAAAGGATGACTTCCAACATGACAACGGCCCTAAGCACACAGCTAAAACGATGAAGGAGTGGCCCAGCCAGAGCCCTGACTTAAACCCAATCGAGCATCTCTGGAAATACCTAAAAATGTCTGTCCACCAACATTCACCATCCTGACAGAACGGGAGAGGATCTGCAAGAACGAATGGCAGAAGATCCCCAAATCCAGGAGTGAGAAACTTGTTGCGACTTTACCAAGAAGCCTCGTGGCTGTGTTAGAAAGATGATTCTACTAAAGACTGAGCAAGGGGCCTAAATACTTAAGACCATGTGATAGTTCAGTAGTTCTTTTCTAATAATTCTGCAGAATCTTCTAAAATTCTGTTTCCCTGTCAATATGGGGTGCTGTGTGTACATTAATGAGGAAAAATTATTTTAATAGATTTTTCCAAATGGCTGCAGTATAGCAAAGAGTGAAAAAGAGGGTCTGAATACTTTTTGTACCCACTGTATATTGTGCCTGGAAGGTGTAAAATAGCATGATCCAGGCCCTTTAAAGAAACAGGTCAGACATCAACACTTTTTCACTAATGAACAACTAAAAACTATCGTTTTAACCAATGTCTTTGATTGTTTTATAAGAAGACGTGACTTTTAACATAAATGTCAGAATTCTTCTCAAATAAAGTTCCTGCTCCTAAATTAGAACCAAATCAGAACCTCATGCTACCTCATTCAGCCGTTTTGTGAGACTGTGAAGAATCTCTGGACAGTGTTCACCTCCCTTCCAGGCATGTGGAGCGTTTCTTTTCCATAGCTGAAGAAAACACAGATAATGTCATTATTTTGTTTAGTTTTTTTTAACTTGAACACTCATTTTTAGTCAAGTTTGTTTTTAAATGAAACCTTTTTTGCTAAGATGTAACAGAGGCGTATCCAGAAACTAATTAGTGGGAGGGTCCAATAAATGTCATTGAAAAGAAGTATGTATAAGTGTGTGTGTGTGCGCGTGTGTGTGTGTGTGTGTGTGTGTGTGTGTGTGTGTGTGTGTGTGTGTGTGTGTGTGTGTGTGTGTGTGTGTGTGTGTGTGTGTGTGTGTGTGTGGAACACCAGGCACTGATATATATATATATATATATATATATATATATATATATATATATATATATATATATATATATATATAAAGAAATACTATTAATTTAAATTACTAAAATAAATTTTTTTTTACATACACTTATTTTAGGGATGCCTTTTGAGTGGGTGGGCCCTGGTAAGTGGGTGTACCTGGGTGGGCCATAGCCATGCCCCTTAGATGCAACTGATTGGTGCATACAGTACATTTGATCCAGTTTGCCTTCTCCTTACCTGTCCAGTCAAAAGCTTGCAGGCATCCACCCACTGCTCACAGATGGAGATTCCTGTTCTCAGGTTTTCTCTCACCAACCCAAAAGGCTCCACAAAGATCTGAAGACCACTCAGTTTCTTCTGAACATAACGTCCCAAGGCCCCACCTTTCACAAAAGTACAAAAAAAGATAAGTTTTATATGCATGTTCATTATTATTATTATGCATAACTCTATGTCTAAACATTTTAATCACTGACATTTTCAAATATTAAAAAAACCTATGATAAGCATGTAACCTCAATAATGTACACTAAGCAGTTTCAGAGAAATAAACTCAGTTTCACTTCTCAAAATATGTTCTTTTTATCTGTGATAGTGGCAAACTAGACGTTTAAATGTGTATTTCAAGCATCATCAGCATATATTTATTTTGGTTGATGTAAATCTGAGAGATGCCCACCGATTACATCCATAAGTCGGACCATTCTGGTTTCTGGATAAGGCTCAAAATCTGTCTGTCTCCAGACATCATCCAGAGTGTCTTTGCTTTGTTCCACCAGATCAACAACATCTGACATGGACAAGCCATCCAGACCAGCAAACTCCTATAGGACACACACACACACACACACACACACACACACACACACACACACACACACACACACACACACACACACGTTGCTGTCTTAATTAAGTTCTGCTTTAGTATTCTTACTGCTCACAAAAATATGTATTATAATAGCTCCCAGTGTATTTAATAAGTAAAAACCACATTTTTTAATAGCTGAATTTAACAAACAGTAAATGGTTTGGATTGGTCATCTTATCAGTGAAATCAATGTTTATTACAAATGTAACATTTTCATACCTTTTGTAGGGGTTTGAATTGCTCTGTGAAAAACAATGCCCTTTCTCTCATGCTGCTCCTCTCTGCACGCTCAGACAGATCCGCCCAGAACTGGAACTCATCACTGGGGGTCAAGATACCTGCAGCAGGTGTCCAAACATATATACTAGAAGAACATCTTAATACAAACCACCTATCATTAACAATTCATCTAATATATTTATTCTTCTTGTGTTATGATGCTCTCTAAAAAGACGTATTTCCTCATGTCATTAAATAGCTTTTTGTTAATATAATGGCATCACTATATTCAACCTCCAAAGTGCTTTGAGCCATGATATTTTTAAATAGCAATGATAATAAAAAAAATAAGATAGAAAGTTTGCATTTGTGGAAAAATTACCCCTAAAACAACCAAAATACTGCTTCAGTATAAAATACTGACCGAAGCACTGCCTATAACCCACGGCCAACATAAGGACTTACCCAGGACATCGCCTTCCACAAAGCCTTTCTTGAAGGACTTTGCTCCAGAATGGCGAACCACAGATCCCAGGCCTACTTCCAATTCAGTCAGCAGGTTTGCCAACTTAGGGTCAAATGCTGAGCGCCAGTGCTCATCCTTGGAGAATAAAAAGATATGTTAATGCTGTTTGCCTGTTAACAGCAACATGCAGTCAGTCTCACCTGCAGCAGTACAGGGGCAAAAACCTGTTTGACAGCCTGATAGAGGGTGTTGATGGGCGACTCAAGCATTGATGACACCAGGAGGCTTTGGTGAAGGTTTTCATTTGTGATGACTGTGGGATACAGTTTGAAGAAGACTAGCACCTTCTCTTTACCATCTCTCCAAGATTCAACCTATTGATTGGCAAGATTTAAAAGACAATTTAAAAAGAGATAAAACAAGCAGGTAAATTATTTCTTATTCTATTCTAAGTTTTCCTTTGTAATGATGTTTTTACCTTGTTTGACAACTGAAGGTCACCATCATGTCTGGAGAATGACAAGATAAATTCATTTCCGTCATCCAAGAAGTTATTCATCTCTGATCTGTCAGCCAGAGATGATGGAGGTACGGAGCCGTAGAAGTTTCCAGCTGTGGCCAGAATAAACTTCTTGCGAGCATCTTCTAAGCTGTGAGCCATCTTTCAGCTTGGCGTAAAGTGCTGACAGTGAGGAAAGCATAACAGTAATATAAAAATTTACTGTTTTTTTATATAAATCTGTGCTAACACTGAATATTATAAAAAAATAATCAGAAAAGTATGTTTTTATATCCCCAGTTTAAATCCTCTAATAAGTGTGTTTTGTCTTACATTTTCTAGCCGACAGTAAAATATTATAATGCTACATACACGCTTGCAACGAGTATGCAACCAAACTTTACCATTTTATTTCATGAAGTTTAATTCAACCACGAGTTGTTATTTACGCTGCTGCATCTATTTTCACATCGCCTTAGCGGAGCTAGCTTTGCCATCGAAAACAATGACCACATTAGCATGTTTAGCTAACGTTAGCTCCTCTAGCGAATCGCTGTTTGGGGGTAGAGGCGAGCATGCTTTACGCAAGCACGCTACAAGCGCTAACGGTTTACAGACCTTTTTGAGATCAAATGTGGAATTCGTGAAGTTTGTCACAGGTTGATCCACGGTTTGAAGAAACCAAGCGTGCATTTAGCTTCCCTTTTCTAACGTGGTTACTAAGCAGCAACTACGGAACGTCATTAGCGTAGTTTTACCGTGAAACGCACAATACGTAAAGGAGGTGCGTTTACGTAACCAGGTGCGCAGTTTAAAGGGTCCTCGTCAAAAAGAGTTTTTTTTAATCGCCTTTTAAGATAAAACCACAAAGAGCTTCACAAACACAATAAAAACTAAAACAAAAAAGCTTAAAATTAAAATCTAAATTCTCTGTTTGTTTGGGTAGAGTATCATTTTACTCCCTCTCTGTGAAATGGTTTAAGTTGCATTAGCATCACTACAAATGTATGTCAGAAGAAGCCAAATCCTCACACCTTTAATATTTAAAGAAAGAAATGAAGATCTATTTAAATCATGACTCAAAAGACATCTAAGCTATTATTTTCAGTTTCTTTTCTAAATGAATACACACATTATGTTAGTCTTGTTCTTGCATTATCTTAAATGTGAAATGAAACTGTGAATGTGAATGAATGTGAAAGCCATATAGGGAAAGTGGTGTTAAGTTGTAGCTTGTTTTGGTAGAATTTAAACCACAAGGTGCAAAGCCTGTAGACATTATACAAATAAGTTTGAACCAATCACTTTACAGAAGCACCTTGTTTTGAACATGAATTCATTTTAAGTCTGTAATATACAATTGTATGTTGCATTTTTATAATTTACACATGGATCTTATTGATTTTAGTTGTTTTGTCGAGTAAGGTTGAAGAAAAAGTTGCAAGAAAAACAAGAGCTAATAAAAGTTCATTGTTTTAGCTGCCATCAAGTTGCGACACGTTCTGAAATCCCAATGGTTTTCCCCTATCTGCTATACACAAGGCACCAAAAGAGCACCATTACCACCACCTCATTAGCTTTGTAATCTTGCATAAAATTAAACTGACCATTATTTAAATGAAATTGTTGTTTTAAGTTTTAAGTTGGACTCTGAAAACAATTTCCAGTATTGCACAAGAATATAAACAACCACAAATTATGAAATTTATTGTGTCAAATTTCAGATACGGGCTCCATTATGACATGAGTCATCCTTATATCAATATTAGATCAAATGCTTTTTTATGAGTTTGCTGTTGTAAAGTTTACAGTTATAATTCTGTCACTAAACTGTTGTTAGTGAGATGAAATTGGGTCAAACACTTTTCTAAGTTCAAACTGCTGAAATTCCCTAAACTATCCAGGAGATAAAGCTTTTTATTAAGTAATCAATAACATTTAGTGTGCCACTTTGAAAGGAAACAGATCAACTTAAAAATAACTAAGGAATGCAAATGTTCCCTGCACTAAAAACTCCTTTGGAGAGTTTTAGGGTGGAAACAGAAAGCTGCAACCTGATCGTGTTTAGCATTAACTTACATTAGCCTCTTATTCGTATTTTTAGGAGAACCAGAAACAGAAACTGTAGAAACGGCTGCAAAAATAGGTGTAATCAAATTAAACAGATCTCTAAGGTGATAACAAGAAAGGCAATTACTTGCATACTTACTGTCAAACTTGTTTTTAGGAAACGTGTAAGTGATATTTTTTCCCTCACTGTATTTGAGGTCTATCAGCTCTTATTCTCAAACACCAGGTCAATAATGCTTAAACTAAATACACAGAGATTTACAGTGTAGCACCAAAGATACTTAAAGATTTGTGGACTTTATTAATAAGTGCTGGTATTTTACCATTTCTACACATGGGAAATCCCCCAAAAATCCTTGTTAGGCTGCTCAGTTTTTTTTTCTTTTCTCTTTTGTTATTGTTACAAAGTTAAGATAAACTGGCCAGGTGACAAATTTTACCTGAATCTTGTCAGTTCTGGGAAGCAGTGTTGGTTCATCTGAGGTGTTCCCTAATTTTCCAGACTTATACTCAGCCAGAGTCTAGAGGAGTGGTTCCCAAACTTATTTAGCCACGCACCCCCTTCTATGTCCCGACCATGTCGACGCACCCCTCAGCCCCCACATCAGGGCATGGCTATACATATATATATATACATATATATATATATGTATATATGTATATATATATATATATATATATATATATATATATATATATATTTATATATATATATATATATATATATATATATATATATATATATATCAGACGTCAAGCTAAACAGACAGGGTTAAAAAAAATATTATCGAACTTTTCCCCATCACTTTCATTTTTTAAATAGTAATTAATAAACATTCGATGCCATTACAATTTCATTTGATTTAATTTTAAATAAATATCTAGAGTGCCCAGGTAGCACATAAAAAATGCAATTTTACGGTTTTCTTAAAGTAGGAACGTTTAACCTGTGCGGCCAGAGCGCTCTCCTTCCTTCTGCTCTGCGTAAACCTGAGCTGGTCACCTACTTGTGCGTAATCAAATGTCTATAGGGGAAAAGATGGAAACGATATAGCCATGAGGTTCACTTTTGCCTCTGACCGACTTATTGCTGTTTTATGGTGTGGCTGAATCTGCGATCCGCTGCCACGCAGACTGGAATAACAAATGATGCAGTAACCTGAGTTGTCAGGTTCGGAGTCACTGACTGGAGCGGACCCGACTTTAATACGTCATCCCAAAATAGAAGCTAATATCTTAATTTGACCTTGAATTAAAAATGTTGTTATAAAACCTCTTAAAAGTTTTTATCACAGAGGAGGCAGCGCTCATTTCTGCCTTCAGTCTGACGGCGCGCCGGAGTTTGCGCAGCGTGCGCGCTTATTGAATCTGTGTGTGTGTGTGTGTGTGTGCGTGTGTGCACGCGCGCGGCACAGCTCCATGAAGCTTGGTTTATGCTTGACGCATTCACTTTCCGTTTGGTGATGCGGCTCGTGGAACGCGCTTTACAACTTGCAGCGTTTAAGTCACAGCGTCTCGTTATTGGCGCTATTTAAACCAGTGTTGTAAAATTACTTCTGCCCAGCACCGATGTGCTCACTTGTGCACCCGGGAGCCGTGGTTCTGCTGGAACGCGTCTGACCTCTGACAGACACACTCTGAACTTCAGATCTTCAGCGCGCTGTTAATAGTCTGAATGGGAATCATTTCTTGATTTATTTTGTTACATCACAATGTTCTGTGTGTGAGGTTTACAACGTCAGAACACCTGCATGAGACAGGTGTTAATTACAATCTGCCAGAATGACTCACCACCTTCAGATTCCTCCAACACCGTTAAAAATGATCAAATACGGAACATATCGGCGTGCGCAGGCCAGAGTGCTGAAGCTCGGCGCATTGTTATTATGAAGCTAGGGCACATGTGGAGGACACGCGCGCAAAAATATACTTGTTTTCAATTACATTTATTGTGCCCACTTACTTTTTCTTAGGCCCACCCACAAATGAGTTTCTGGCTACGCTAATGGTGACATATGACAGACTTCTCTGAGCTCCGCAGCCATTACACTTTTCACCTTGCGCACCCCCTAGCGGCAGCGCACAACACTTTGGGAATCCCTGGTCAAGAGGAAAGTGTCGGTGAAAGTGTCACAGACGGGTTCTGCGAGAAAGTGTTGACCTATCAGAGGCATTCCCCAGACTATCAATTCAGCCATTGACTGGAGTTACAAACAAAATTCAGACAAAAAGCAAAGAGGTTCTATTTGTGCTAGAACTGCATGTTCTAAACATAATTTTGTGTCAAACTCCTGTAATCTTAACCACAATGAAAGTGGTTAAATAAATCAGTCTGGACAGATTGAAAAACATACAGAAACAGAGAAGTGAAAATATGAAGCAATGACCAAGAACAAAAATGGAGGACCTGTTCTCTCAGTGGGAGCAAAATGTCAAAGGTTAACCACTTTGATAAAAAGTTTCAGTCACACCCACGTAGTAGAAAAACACCGTAACGTTTTAGGATTTACTGTTAACAGATGATTCCTCTCCGGTATTAGGAAATGGCTTTGAAGTGAAATTCTGAGGAGCGCCACCTGCTGCTGAGGGGGTCTGAGAAGAGCAGATCCATGAGTGCTGTGACAAGTTCAAGAGGTTATGTCAGCATCTTAAATAAAATGTAAAGATTATTGTCATCAAAGACTATAAACTTTTGCTTGTGTGTGTTCAAAGGCAGTTTTCTTTTGCTAATAACTGCTCCAAGTAAAGGTTTATTTTGCACAATAAACACAATCTACTGAACGCATATAAGTAGTATTTTCTTGCATGTTTCAATGAAAATTTAAGTCATGCTCAAATAGAACCGAATGTTTGGTGGTTAAATGAGTCATTGAGCAGGGATTTACTCTGATCTCTAGTTTCATTTTAAACTTTTATTTACATTGTTTGTGTCTTGAGTCTCTTCAAGTACTGTGGTGTTTCAAAACTGAGACTAGAGCACCAACACAACAGTTGTAGCGCCATTGCACAATCAAGCTGTTGATGCTGATGACACATCATTAGAGGAATGCGCGCGCACGCGCACACACACACACACACTCACACACACACACACACAATGTTTTGACTTCTCGTTCACCAAATGAAAAAGGATTAAGTCTAATGTGCTCCTTTTACAAGAGCCAGCTCCTGAGCGGAGCGTTTAAATGATCTTCCTAGCGTGACTCATGACTCCTCCCTCCAGAGTGTCTATAACAAACCAACAACTTCCTTGTATTTTCAATCTCTGGCCAGTCACAATGGAGGTAAGATCACTCTTCTGTCTGAACTAAAACAGCTTTTGCTATTATTATGGCTCATGACAAGGACTAATCCTTCTTATAAGTTTGATGTGAGATATGAAATGTGTTTTAATCTGTGACAGCTTTTGTTGCTGAACAAACAGAACATGTGGGTGTACTGATTTCTCACGGATGCCAAGTATAAACCTGTAATCTATAACTGCATGTCTGTGTGAGTGTTTGAGGCTTTACACTGCCTGTTTAACAAACTAACTGAACTTATTAGATCTAGTCATTCATTCAACTGAATCTCAGTTTGGATTGATGAATAAGAGAGAAAATCTAAAGAAAATTCCTTCAGTGTCTCCTTTTGATAAAAAAAATGACATTCCATCTTGTGCTGTGTAGCCATAGAGAGGATAAATAAACAAACCTCTTCTGCCTAATCATCTGGCATATGCAGCCAGTATCAACTAAACCTGCTTACGTTCTTCTGGCTGTAGTCTCACTCAGGCGTGAAGTTACTTTTGAGTGTTTAAACGATAGAAAATAATAGACTGGAGGTGGTGTTTCATATCTGAAAGCATGTTTAAGTTTTAATAACTACTGCGCGACTTCCCATTTCTGACATTTTGTTATGACACCATAATAACTACAGGTGAAAACTGAAAATTATAAATATGGTGCAGAGGTTTTTTCTTTTTTTTAGTAATTAAACCTAAAAGGTGAAACTAATATATGTGTTACAACCCAGGTGTCTAGGGGGCCTGGGGTAACATGGAGGACACATGACACAAAGGAAAATTAACAAAGATTTTATTTACTTTTCTGCTTTTTTTGTCTTACTCTAGAAAAGAAACCACAGTGAAACAACCCATTTAACCAAAACAGGCTCAAGCACTAAAATGTAACATAACAAATCTCAAAAAGGTAACAGATTACCCCTAAAGCTCATTTCTTTTTGCTAATCAACATCAAAGCCCTAAGTGGGAGACAACAGACCAGAGGAAAGGCAGCTCTGCACAATCGTCCCCATTGGTGAGGAGCTCCAGCAGGTCCTTTAAGCAATCCGTGGCTGATGAAACCCGGCTCAGCTGGTGCAGGGAGGAGCAAGGGTGAGCAACCAGGCCGTAGTCTGCAGGCATGCTCCTCAGATGCAGCATTAATGAGAACACAAAAATGCACAGAAAATGAAAACACAACACCAAAAGGCTCCAGCCGTAACATATGAGATAGACTTGTTCCATGCCAACTGAGACGTTTAAAGCCTTTTATTTGCTATCATTGTAATGGTTATGGCTTACAGCTTATGAAAACCCCACATTGTGAGACAGCAGTAGCTCAGGTTGTCCGGTAATCTGAAGGTTGCAGGTTTGATCCCGGCTCTGACCAGAGAATGCTGCTGTTGTGTCTGTGGGCAAGACACTTAACCCGCCTACAGGTGCTGGTTGTAGGCAGAGATGGAAAGTAACAAATTACATTTACTCATGTTACTGTAATTGAGTAGCTTTTTTGTAAATTTATACTTTTTAAGTCGTTTTCAAAAGCTGTACTTTTACTTTTACTTGAGAAAGTTTTTAAAAAAGAATTGTAATTCGCTACATTTTAAATCATATTCGTTACTGAGTAAAAATAAATTATAGGCTTAATAAATAAAAAATATTACGTGTAGCAGCGTTGGAACGGAAAGAGACACCTGCATGAGCGCCGCGTCTAAATCGTGGGGGGTGTGGGTGTACACTTTAGCTCAAAGACGTCAGTTCAGTTCCTCAACTCGCTGTTTACCTCCTCTCTCCCTCCTCTCCTGTGGGTTGGATCCCGCACCTTCGTGCACCGGTGTGACGTCATCAGAAATCTGCTTGGTTCGGTAGCCGGACTCGGTTCCGTGTTTGAATTGTGTTTCTCTACTGCTCCGCACGGCAGCGGCAAAATAACGTTTAGCGCTCATAACAAGTGGATTCTCAGCGCTCTGCTCATAAAACAGAAGACCTGCAGGCCTCCGTGAGTTAAAACATCCTGATACTGTTTCAGGTGTAAACATTGTGCTCCATCCCTGTGTTTGAACTCAGAAGTTGCTTCTTGATGCCACAGATTTGTGATCATTTATCTTGTTTCTTTATTTTACTCCAGAATAAGAGATTAAATTATTACTAAAGCAGTTCAATATAGCTAGTCATTCAAATGATTCTAACATGCTGCAGTGTGTGTGTGTGTGTGTGCGCGCGTGTGTGTGCGTGTGTGTGTGTGCGTGTGTGTGTGTGTGTGTGTGCGTGTGTGTGTGTGTGTGCGTGCGTGTGTGCGTGCGTGCGTGTGTGTGTGTGTGTGTGTGTGTGTGTGTGTGTGTGTGTGTGTATGTGTGTGTGCGTGTGTGTGTGTGTGTGTGTGTGTGTGTGTGTGTGTGTGTGTGTGTGTGTGTGTGTGTGTGTGTGTGTGTGTGTGTGTGTTACACATATAGGACTGCATGAGACAGCGTGGTTTCATCAAATCCATGCAGTCCTATATCTTGGCTGAAGTAACGGCTCAGGAAAATAACATATTTCATACATAATGACGTCTCTGCAGTGTTTATGATAATATTTTATCTTTGGTCTGGGAGGTGTAACTTATCATGATACAAGCCTTTTAAAACATGTTAAAGTGTTACAAGAGGAGCTAAATGCATGAATTTGAAGTTCATGTTTGGAGACCAACCTTCACTGTTTGGAAGCTCACGCTGGTGAGGAGACACCATTAGTTCTAGTAACACCTGGGCTCCCAAGGCCTGTTCTGACAGGATGGATGTTACTGGACCCTTAAGGATTCCAGTTGGACGATTGGAGGATTATTTAGGAGGATGGGAATGAACAAACTGATTTCAGTGGCGAAGGGTTAAATGAGTGAGTGAACCCACCATCAAGGATGAACTCTGCTAACTTTAAAAATCAGCTGCTCTAAATAAGCATGAAGGTCAGAGAGGAGCTCTAGGATGGACATGAATAAAGGAACTGTAATGTAGAGGTAAAGTAGGGCAGGGCCAACGTTAGCAGCTGTCATACGGTCCATCTGAAATGTTTGACTTCATTTGGCTTGTTATATTATGTGACAGGTTAGAGCACAGTCTCATGTTAGAGTTTTGTCATGAAAACATTGAGATACCTCACACACTGATGGCATCTTAAAAAATTATTTTTTCTCAAAATAAAGAATAATTTTAACCACAATTGAAACTTACCATCCTAGAAAAACCTAGTCCAAGCAATGTGCACGTCCTGTTCTCACTAATTGGATAGAAATCCCTCCTTCAAGCTGAGTGTGTGTGTATGTGTGTGCACACACACACGAGCGAATTGTGAACTGGCGTTGTGATTTAGCACTACTTAGATGTAGCCATCCTTACGCTGACAAAAATGTAACTAAGTAACTTTCACTTTGAGTACATTTTGTTTACGATACTTTTTACTTTTACTTAAGTAAAAATTTAGGCAAGTACTTTTTCTTGTAATTGAGTAAAAAATTATCAAAGTATTGGTACTTGTACTTAAGTAGGAAATTTTAGTAGTCTTTCCACCTCTGGTTGTAGGGACTAGCGGTGCCAGTGTTTGGCAGGCCTCAGCTCTGTCAGTGAACCCCAGGACAGCTGTGGCTACACTGTAACTCATCCCCCACCAGAGAGTGAATGTGTTTGAATGGGTGTTGGGAAGCACCTCGGGGGGTTGTAGAACCCTAAGAAGGCGGTGTACAAATACAGACCATTTAAAATCTCAGAAACCTTAAAATATTACATGAAATCATATTCCAAGTTTTTGAGTTTCCTCTGTTTTTCTAACAGATTCACTCATAAAACACTATCTGATCAGACACGTGGTCTTTGTTCTACTGGGATATGTTTACTATCTAACATCATCATACTAGATTAGAATAAGCCTTTATTATTCCATGAATGAGAAATTGAAGTGTTACACAGCCCTTATAACAAAAGGACTATAGATAAAGAAGACACAAAAATAGCTCTATATACTTAGCAAGTAAACCAAAACAATGTGTATATACAAAAAATATTATTAATATAGTTAATATAGTTATGATGCGATTATGTGATTATTCTAACATAACACACTATTAATAAATATGAGTATGAATTGATAGTTAACACAGCTGTTTTATCCTCTAGTAAAGAAAATCATTGGATACTTATATACATAAAAATTATACAAATGTGTACTTTTCCAACAAAATGCACACAATTACTAATTATATGAGGCCAATTGCAGGCTGTGGCTTCCGTTTTACTTGTTCTTAATCAGCAGTGAAATGTATTTTTAATTGCTGCGCACACCTACAACCGACCCCACTGTGCAAAGACATCCTACAGACGTTGTCTGGACTGACAGACTCGATACAGACATGATCTGCACAGCCATGTGATGCTGACTGTTTGTAGGGACTATCCCAATTACAGACAGCTGACCTTAGATAACCTTGTCCCATAAGGATTTCCCAGTTGTGGTTACAGCCCCCCCCCCCCAAAAAAAAGTGGATGGCAGCAACCTGAACTGACCATGCAAGAGTTTGAGCTGAATCTGACAGGATTAGTCTGGTCTTGTTCACTGACCTGGCCTGTTGGGTGATGACTCTCAGCCACTGTCACCTTAATTTAGAGGTCATTGTTGTTATTTATAAATTGACTGGTAGAAACAGGCTGTTGGTAATGGTCAGATACACTGTAAGAAACAAAATGTTGAATTTACTTGACCAAGTCGTGTCAACTGGTTCCACTAAAGCTATTTGCTTAAATATAAAGAATAATATTCATTTGTATGTTGGTTTGTTAAAAGTAAATGTATATTACTCTTTACATTTAAGCAAATGTTTATTGGAATCAGTTGACATAACTTGGTTTCTGTCAGTGCGCCCCAGAGCAGCTGTGGCTACAACGTAGCTCATCACCACCAGCGTGTGAATGTGTGTGTGAATGGATGAATGATAGTCTGTAGTGTAAAGCGCTTTGGAGTCCTTACTCTGAGAGGTGCTACACAAGTGCGGGTGCGGGTCATTAAATGTTGAATGTGGAACAATTTAATAAAAAGCTTTTTTTTTCAAATAACACCTCCACAGGGTGTTTAGAAGTGTGCAGAATGAAGGTACAGTATTTCCTTTCAAATCGATGTTTTAGTTTAAAAATGATCAAATATTTATTTTAACGGGCACACCACTAAGTTTATGTTTACATCTACAAGCCACTAGAGGGCACCATTGCAGGTTACCAAACAGTCTGCTCGAAACAGCGAGGCTGGAAAATGGCGGACTCAGCAAGTCAAGCAGCTACTTCTGAGCCCAGAAGATGTTGTTATCCTTCTCAGAAGAGGAGCGACCATAAAAGATCTAGAGCCAGAGTGAGTTTAGGTGAAGCCTACAATAGATGATCCCAAACAAAAATGTTTACATGTCGGCAGCGAACCTGGTATCCTGACGGTTGGAAACCTCATTCTATTGTTGCAGCTACAACCTCCACACACTAGATGTCGCTTTGGTGTTCGTGTTCCATCCTCCTTCTTTGAGATAATTCAGCATTGCATTTCTTAGAGTGCAAATATTGAGTTCTAACTTGCAAAAGATGTTGCACTTAAGAATTTCATCAAAATGGTTATTACTCAGTTTTTAACAGTAAATCGTCCAAAAATTCAAAAGGCTGTATTTAACATGGACTGTTTTCAAGGAAACCTTGTAATTTATGTGATGTAAAAATCTGTCGAATTTAGTAATAAATCAGTCCACGAGCACAAAAAACTACACACAGCCGACTTGGGTGTGTGTTCATGCATGAGTTTGATGGTAATCAGAAGCCTCAGGTGTTATGAGTCAGAACAACGATTCTTTGGTTTCACATAAAATCTTACCTGCTCTTCAAATTCAGGCCTAAACATTTTATTACCTACTTTTTATCTGTTTCATATTTCTAGTGGCATCTCACCTGACACTAAAACTAATTTGTGCTGCCCTTCGACCGTAGTGCAGCCCCCTGGGAATCGCCTGTCTATGTTTCTCTTTTGACACATCGTTGTCATATGTCAAAGAAACATCCATATATGTATCATTGTGTTGCTGCTTCTTCCTGAGTGTTGTTACTTTATGATGTCTAGAATAAAACCTGAATGATAAAGAATTATCATGTAGGCTTCAAATAGCCTACATCTCTGTAGGCATCCGACACATTTCAAGCTGCAAATATTGTTTTAAACATTTCCTCTGATTTAAAAAAAATCTTATAACCAACATAATAAAAAAATGTTGATTATCTCTCTCCTCATTCCTGAGTGTTGTACATAAAGTAAACGCTTTAGAGAAAAGAGGGGATGTTTTTAATCTGTGTGGGAATTTCCTGAGATGTGATGGAAGAGAAGAAAAGACAGACAGAAAGGGAATGTTGTTGTTTTAAATGATTACACCTGAAGTAAACAGCTGTTTGGAGAATAATACACAGCACAGAAACTAAAAGTAAACATATACTTAACTAAATGTCAGTATTTGGCATTATTTTGCTTCCAAAATGAAAAAAGGAGAACTAAATGTCAGCATTCGCCTGTACAGGTTCGTCAGCATTCACCTGTAGAGGTTCGTCAACAACACAACCCGAAGATAAAGAGAGTCTGTTCAATCTGATGGGAATTTGCTTTAGTGTTGTGGTTTCTGGGAAAACTTTGGGTGTGTCATTTTCAGATGAGAAATCCTTCTTCATCTTTCAGGATGATACTGAGAAAGACGTCAGACATTTCAAATAAGTAATTTCTTATGCCTTCATGTGATCTTTCAAGATCTAACTCAGGTAAAAGAAGCGTTACAAAGAGGACTGGTTAATTATTCTTGTATGATCAGGAGGGAATAACGAATGATCTAGATTTCAAATGCAGCTTCACTAAAACTCATTTTTCATCCTTCTTATCATTAATACAATATTTTAATTGTCATTTTCCTGATAATTCTGAAGTTTTCTTTTTGAAAAGTTACTCTAAATGTAATCACTCATGCTTGACTTAGCCTGTTGTTCAGTGAAATCAGGAAATAATAATTCTGCTTTTGTTTTTTCAACAGGCATCAAGTCTTCGTCTTCTGTAAGTTACCCTCCATTATGTCAGTGAGAATTTAAAATGTTAGCAGCAGACAGCTCAGCAGTCATAAACACTCAGTGCTTCTCAAGGATGTTTCCATAGTAACATATTCAAGCAAACACACCTAAACAATATATTAAAACGCTTCTCAAGGATGTTTCCATAGTAACACATTCAAGCAAACACACCTAAACAATATACTAAAACGCTTCTCAAGGATGTTTCCATAGTAACACATTCAAGCAAACACACCTAAACAATATACTAAAACTATCTAACAGTGTGGGTTTACGGTAAATCAGCCCGCAGTGATAACCAGGAAATAAAACAGAAATACTTTTCCCTCCAAGCTGAGGAAATAAGTATTTCTCTAAAGCCGTGATTGAGTTGAATATGAAACATGAGAGAAATGGTTTTTATTATGTCAAAAGGAACCACTTCCTTCATAGAAGTTTGACTCTTAGTTTTGCTAAAGTCATCTGCTGAGCTGCTCTAGTAGCAGACAGGGCTAGCTAGAAAAAGTCTGCACATAACAACCATCAAAGTAGTAAATTCAAACATCAGCCAAAGGTCATTAAATAAATTCCTAATGGAACATTGCACATCCAACTTATTACATAACTATGTTAAACACCCCTTAGATCAAAGGTTATCATATTACTCATAACCTGAGAAAACTCTGCTGATTTTTGAAGCATCATAAATAGATGTTCTCAAATTGGGTCAAAAGAACTCAAAATGAAAGGTTTACATACTAGCACACACCACTGGTCAACAATATTCTACTCTCAGATTGTGAATATTAACTTAAATGCTTCAAGAAATAAAATCAATGTTTGTAAAAATACCTTGAAAGCTAGAAAAGTGGATGTTCAAGTACAATCTAAACTTCCTGACAGATCTGAAGGGTTATCTGGGAATTTTTGCTTTGAGTAAAGGCACCTTTGTATTAAAACAAGAGGTTTAATTTATCCTTCATGCTTGCAAGCACTTCTGCAAACACACACACACACACACACACACACACACACACACACACACACACACACACACACACACACACACACACACACACACACACACACACACACACACACACACACACACACACACACACACATGTCAATGGTACCACTACTGTAGTAGACTATCAGGCTACACTGCTGAGCGTGAACTTCTGTTTCTGGTCCTTTTAAAGACGTGTGTGTGTGTGTGTGTGTGTGTGTGTGTGTGTGTGTGTGTATGTGTGTATGTGTGTGTTTAGCAATAGGATCAGTGATAAAAAAGTTCATACATTCTCCTGTACCATGGTGCTCGTTGATCTTTTGTAGCTTTTTTGGTCTCTTTATTTTTGCTACACCTCTTTGTAATGTTTTTTTTTCTTCTGTGTGTTCAGAAAACCAACACATCCAATTCTTATTTTGATTCTCATCAACGTCATTACAGCTGAAGGTGAGTGATGCCACCAGGAAGTATGGGGCACACCTTTGTCACAGACAGTGAAAAAAACAAGTGATGTAATGGAAGTCAATCAGTTTAAAGAGCAAGTCACTCCCTACCAGATTCTTACTCAACTCCCACTGAGTTGACGATCCTGCCACCACAGCTCCGGTCGGCCGCCTCAACAATGGAGGCACGGAACAGGGTCCATTTAGACTCAGTGTCCCCCGCCTCCCCCGGAACATTTTGGAAGTTCTGTCGGAGGTGGGAATTGAAGCTCCTTCTGACAGGAGACTGCCAGATGTTCCCAGCAGACCCTCGCGATATGTTTGGGCCTGCCTGGTCTGACCGGCATACTCCCCCACCATCTGAGCCAACTCACCACCAGGTAGTGGTCAATTTACAGCTCCGCCCCTCTCTTCACCCGAGTGTGCAAGACATGCGGCCGCAGGTCAGATGAAACAACAAAGTCAATCATCGAGCTACGGCCTAAGGTATCCTGGTGCCAAGAGCACATACGGACACCTTTATGTCTGAAAATGGTGTTCATTATGGACAATCCATGACTAGCACAGGAGTCCAATAACAAAACACCACTCGAATTCAGATCAGGGGTCCGTTCTTCCCAACCACACCTCTCCAGGTCTCACTGTCTTTGCCCACGTGAGCGTTAAAGTCCCCCAGCAGAACGAGGGAGTCACTAGAAGGAGCGCTTTCCAGCCCCCCCTCCAAGGTCTCCAAAAAGGGTGGGTAGTCTGAATGGTAGTTTGGTGCATAAGCACAGACCACAGTCAGAACCTGTCCCCCCACACGTAGGCAGAGGGAGGCTACCCTCTCATTCACTGGGGTAAACCCCAACGTACAGACACCAAGATGGGGGGCAACTAGTATGCCCACCCCTGCTCTGCGCCTATCACTGGGAACAACTCCAGTGTAGTAGAAAGTTCAACCCCTCTCAAGGAAACTGGTTCCAGAGCCAGAGCCATGCGTTGTGAGTCCGACTACAGGTGCTGGCCAGTAAATTAGAATATCATCAAAAGGTTGAAAATATTTCAGTAATTCCATTCAAAACGTGAAACTTGTACATTATATTCATGCAATGCACACAGACCAATGTATTTCCGATGTTTATTACGTTTAATTTTGATATTTATAGGTGACAACCAATGAAAACATCAAATCTGGTATCTCAGAAAATTAGAATATTCTAAAGGCCAATGAAAAAATGTTTGTTTCTCTAATGTTGGCCAACTGAAAAGAATGAACATGAAAAGAATGTGCATGTATAGCACTCAATACTTAGTCGGGGCTCCTTTTGCCTCAATAACTGCAGTAATGCGGCGTGGCATGGACTCGATCAGTCTGTGGCACTGCTCAGGTGTTATGAGAGCCCAGGTTGCTCTGATAGTCGTCTTCAGCTCCTCTGCATTGTTGGGTCTAGCGTATTGCATCCTCCGCTTCACAATACCCCATAGATTTTCTATGGGGTTAAGGTCAGGCGAGTTTGCTGGCCAATCAAGGACAGGGATACCATGGTCCTTGAACCAGGTGCTGGTGGTTTTGGCACTGTGTGCAGGTGCCAAGTCCTGTTGAAAGGTGAAGTCTGCATCCCCATAAAGTTGGTCAGCAGCAGGAAGCATGAAGTGCTCTAAAACTTCCTGGTAGACGGCTGCATTGACCCTGGACCTCAGGAAACAGAGTGGGCCAACACCGGCAGATGACATGGCACCCCACACCATCACTGACGGTGGAAACTTTACACTGGACCTCATGCAACGTGGATTCTGTGCTTCTCCGCTCTTCCTCCAGACTCTGGGTCCTTGATTTCCAAAGGAAATGCAGAACTTGCTTTCATCAGAAAACATAACTTTGGACCACTCAGCATCAGTCCAGTCCTTTTTGTCCTTGGCCCAGGCGAGACGCTTCTTGCGCTGTTTCATGTTCAAGAGTGGCTTGACACACGGAATGCGACACCTGAATCCCATGTCTTTCATGAGTCTCCTCGTGGTGGTTCTTGAAGCGCTGACTCCAGCTGCAGTCCACTCTTTGTGGATCTCCCCCACATTTTTGAATGGGTTTGTCGTCACAATTCTCTGCAGGGTGCGGTTATCCCTAGAGCTTGTACACTTTTTTCTACCACATTTTTTCCGTCCCTTCGCCTGTCTGTTAATGTGCTTGGACACAGAGCTCTGCGAACAGCCAGCTTCTTTAGCAATCACCTTTTGTGTCTTGCCCTCCTTGTGCAAGGTGTCAATGATTGTCTTTTGGACAGCTGTTAAGTCAGAAGTCTTCCCCATGATTGTGGTGCCTTCAAAACAAGACTGAGGGACCTTTTAAAGGCCTTTGCAGGTGTTTTGAGTAAATCAGCTGATTAGAGTGGCAGCAGGTGTCTTCTATATTCAGCCTTTTCAGAATATTCTAATTTTTTGAGATACCAAATTTGGAGTTTTCATTAGTTGTCACTTATGAATATCAAATTTAAACGTAATAAACATCGGAAATACATTGGTCTGTGTGCATTGCATGAATATAATGTACAAGTTTCACGTTTTGAATGGAATTACTGAAATATTTTCAACCTTTTGATGATATTCTAATTTACTGGCCAGCACCTGTATATCTATTCGGAACCTCTCAACCTCACACACCAACTCAGGCTCCTTCCCCACCAGAGAGGTGACATTCCATGTGCCAAGAGCCAAATACAAGTGAGACGAGCTTACCTTCTTACTTTTTGTTGTCTACTGAAGTTTTGGTTTTCAAATGTTTGTGAATTGTCCTCTTACTGGTGCTTTCTGTTTTCGTTCTCCAGAAAGATGTCCTACAGAATTTGAAGGTGTTGTTGGTGGAAATGTAACCTTTTGTTTCAAAGTTTATTGGCCAAAAATTGAGTTTCTATATCTACAAAGGACATTACATGGTACAGAAACGTTTGTCAATGGATTTCATGCTTCAAAATCTGTGACATCAACATGGCCAAACACAAAAACGACAACAAACAAAGAAATCATCATGTCTGGGCTGAACGTCTCACATGAAGGGGAGTATTATTGCTATTATAGATACAACGATACTACAGACCAGATGTCTTTTCAGCTACAACTTACAATCACAGGTATGTAATATGCACCAAAAACCCATTTATTCATTTTTATTTAAGTGTTATATTTTGCACATTGCATTTACACATTTCAGTTTGTTACAATTATGCAGTTGACCAATTTTAGTTTTTAACTTTTGCTATGCTTTTATTGCTTTTGTCCTCCCTTTAATAACAGTATTTTTTTATTATTTCCTTTACTTGATTACTAGTCAGTAGAACACTAAAGTTTTGGACAAATGGAGAAATGGCAAACTCTTGAAATTTGCTGACCCTCAATTACCCAATTTGCATTTACTTAGAATACAGAACATATTAGCATAAAAGATATTTCCCCTGGTGTGGTAAGTTTGACTTGACCATATCATGCTAACTGTTATTAGCCAAATATGCAAATATACAGTCTGGCTGTATATTAGCCATAGAGCTCAGTCATGGGGCAAAATCTGCGGTTGTCTTTAAAACTGTCTCTTCATGCTATTGCACAGCAAACAATGTGATGTACTCACTGCAACAGATGTCAGTCAATGGGGCAGTCCACTATACGCTGTCAAAGAAGACACAAATACATACATTTTCAAAATAAGGACTTGAGTACGTCTATCTGCCATTGATTCAAAGAAAAGCCCAAGTGTAAATGTTCAAAAGTTGATGCCAAAGTCATTTCCTTCAAGCTGTTGCTATCGTTGTTTTTTCACTCAGTAGTGGTAACATCTTGCCCACCAAATGGATAGAGCGCTGTGATTGGCAATGCACAAGACTGTTCAGGCCTGCCAAGGTTCAAATGGAGCGTGGCTAGACTGATCTGCAAAGCAAAATCATTTTACTTCAACTACGGTCTGTCTAGGTTTCCAGGGCAGACTGTTATGCTTTATCTCTACCCAGAAGAGCATCATTCCCCCTCGTAGATGCAGCCCATGTTTGGATGTATTTTAGTGTTATACAGTGGGTGTGGAAAGTGCATTTTTCACTCTTTATTATATTGCAGCAATTTGCTAAAATCAATTAAATTTATTTTTTTCCTCACTAATGTACGCACAGCACCCCACACTTACAGAAAAACACAGAATTTTAAAAACTTCTGCATGTTTGTGAAAAAGGACAAACTGAAATATCACATGGTCCTAAGTATTCAGACTCTTTGCTGTGTAACTCATCTTTAACTTAGGTAAAACGGCTCGTGCTGTGTCTCTCTCTCTAAATAATCAAATTAAAAGAAAAAAAGTTGTGTCTGGTTCTAGTATTTCAGATTTACTAGTTCCTACTGCATGAGTTCAGCTATATTAATTCATGCACCTAAATATTAATGTTCTGATTTTATTGAAAAACTTGTTCTGTAATAGTTCCTTTACTATTGTGATCAAAAATATTTAATCTCAACTTTGAGGCTGCTCTGTAAATAGTTTTCAAATAAACAATACACATAGCAACTTCTGATCAATCCATATCAATTTTATACTTAAAATAATGTATTGACGTCAATCGCACCCACTTCATGGTTAGGCCACGCCCACTCCGAGTACAGATACAGATACAGATAATTTAGATGGTTGAACAGATACAGATACAGATACAGATAGTGGTGTACTCGCTCATCCCTACTTCTCATCATCATTGAGATGGTCCTACACCTTCATTGGAGTCCAGCTGTGTTTGATTATACTGACTGGACTTGATTAGGAAAGCCACACACCTGTCTATATAAGACCTTACAGCTCACAATGCACGTCAGAGCAAATGAGAATCATGAGGTCAAAGGAACTACCTGAAGAGCTCAGAAACAGAATTGTGGCAAAGCACAGATCTGGAAAAGGTTACAAAAAATCTTTGCTGTATTTAAAGTTCCTAAGAGCACAGTGGCCTCCATATTCCTTAAATGGAAGACATTTGGGACGACAAGAACCCTTCCTAGAGCAGGCTGTCCAGCCAAACTTAGCTACCAGGGGAGAAGAGCCTTGGTGAGAGGTAAAGAAGAACCCAAAGATCAATGTGGCTGAGCTCCAGAGATGCAGTCAGGAGATGGGAGAAAGTTGTAGCACTGCAGCCTACAGATTGGCAGATTGGCAGATTGGCCCGTTGGAAGCCTGTCCTCAGTGCAAGACACACGAAAGCCTGCATGAAGTTTGCTAAAAGACACCTGGAAGACCCTGAGATGGTGATAAATTAGATTCTCTGGTCCGATGACACCAAAATAGAACTTCATTCTAAGCAGTGTGTGTGGACAACACCAGGTACTGCTCATTGCTTTTCCAATGCAGTAGCCACAGTGAAGCATGGCGGTGGCAGCATCATGCTGTGGGGGTGTCTTTCAGCTGCAGGGACAGGACGACTGGTTGCAATCAAGGGATTGATGAACATGGACAAGTACAGGGATATCCTGGACAAGAACCTTCTCCAGAGTGCTCAGGACCTCAGACTGGGCCAAAGGTTTACCTTCCAGCATGACAACGGCCCTAAGCACACATCTGAAATAACAAAGGAGTGGCTTCACAGCAACTCTGTGGCTGTTCTTGAATGGCCCAGCCAGAGCCTTGACTTAAACCCATTTGAGTATCTCTGGAAGGACCTAAAAATGTCTGTCCACCAACGTTCACCATCTAACCTGACAGAGCTGGTGAGGATCTGCAAGAGGGAATGGCAGAAGATACCCAAATCCAGGTGTAAGAAACTTATTTCATCTTTACCAAGAAGACTTGTGGCTGCATTAGCTCAAAAGGGTGATTCTACTAAATAGTCTGAGCAAAGGCACTGAATACTAGGGCCATGTGATATTTCAGTTTTTCTTTTTAACAATTCTGCAGAAGTCTAAAATTCTGTAGTTTTCTGTCAATATGGGGTACTGTGTGTACATTAATGTCCAATGAATAATTGGATTATTCCAAAAATGAATTTGATTGATTTTAGCAAACGGCTGCAATATAACAAAGAGTGAACAATTGACGGGGGTATGAATACTTTCTGTACCCACTGTAGTTTCTAGCCAAAGCCAAGTTAACAGCAGGAGGATGTTTATGTTGGCTAACCACTGAAAATGCCTGCTAAATGCTGAAATTGCAAACAAATGATCTTAGAAATTTCGATAGGCAGTGGTCACATGATCTGTCACTGAATCATCAATCTAATTCATACTTCTTGTGGCGGAGACAGTTTTCTTGTGACTTCTGTGCAAAGAAACCTGTAACGTTTCTGTTCTTTGCTATTGTGGATTTTTCTGCTTTTACAGAACCATGGGCCCAAGATAACCTATGACAGTTTCAAAACTAGTTCCTTCAGATTTGTCACTGTTTCTAAATAATTGATCAGCTTTTTATTTGATTGAGGGATTTGGGATATTCTAAACAAATACAAGTTACAGGATTATTCATTTTTCCTTGATAATGTTGTAAACATTACAATCATACACGTAGATGTAGATGTCACTGGCACTGCCTATTGGAGCTGCCATAGTGGCCGGTCGCCATCTTGGATGGGTCTCCTTTTGCCCTCAGTGCATTTATTTCTATTGAGACTGCTTACCCAACATTAAAAAAACAAAACACTTTTTTTGGCACATTAAAATATAAATATAATTACATAAAATAAATAAATTAAAATATTAAATCCCAATATGTAAGCAAGAAATGTCCAGAAAAGTTCTAAATGATCTGTTTCCAACAGTGCACTGACTGTTGCAACCATAGGCTGCACAAAAAAGCAAGCATAGTTGCTCACTCTGCGTTGACTCCAGTTGTGTTTGGAGAATGAGGAGGCCCACCCAATATGGCACAGATGTTGTCACGCTCTCCAGCACCCAATGGGGCGTCTATATATTCATGTCTATGGTAAACATCATTTTGATTACCTTTTGTCTTTCCTGCTTGCAGCTCCCTTCAGTAAGCCTTCAGTGACAAAAACATGTGGAAAGAAGGACGTCGACTGCAACATCACATGTGCATCGCATAATGGGTACCCACGCCAAACCATAACATGGCAGACTAGCAGTAATGTGTGGAATCATGTGGACAATGAGAAACAGTGTCCAACTACAAAGATGTTTAACATCTCCAGCACTTTTTACACCAACTGTTCTGGTGGAGAAGTGAATGTCAGCTGCTCTGTGGGCAACAACATCTCGGATACCATCACCCTGTGTGAGTTTTAAACCCAGAAAAGATAACGGTTTCTTTCCTGGTTTCTGCTTTTTGTTTTCAGACACTGATTGGGTTTAAGGAAGCGTGATAACTAACGGAAATTCCTCAGCATATTCAATACATTTTCATGGAGTGTGGTGAAATTTTGCACTAATTTACATCTTCTTGGTTTTTCCAAATAAATTTTTATGATTCTGTACACACGTAGCCAAGTACCCCACAAAATAAAGATAAGTTTCTATGGTTTGGCCTGTCATCCACACAAAAATGAAGATAAACGACAACAAAAAATTATTCTTTCAGAAACTCTGAACAAAGTGTAGATTGGTGAATTCTCCTTTGTCAGCATTTGTTTGTGGTTGTAAATAACCGGGGTTTTAGGTTACTTCTTTGAGTAGAGACGAAGTACGACTTTAAAAACAGTCACTGCCCGCTAAATAATTTTATTGCTCGACATTTTTACTGTCATGATCATGCCCTGATCTCTGTGTTTTCCTGTCTCCCTGCAGCAGCAGTAATCTAGCTGATTAATTTTACCTGTGCTGCCCTCTATTTAAGCACCTGTCTCCTGGTGCCCTGTCACAGTCCTTTGAGCGTTTGAACCTGTCTTTCTGCCTGCCTGTTTATTACTGATCTCTGCCTGCCTGACCATGGAACCTGTCTGCCTGCCTGTTCGTTACTGACCTCTGCCTGCCTGACCACGGAACCTGTCTGCCTGTCTGTTTGTTACTGACCTCTGTCTGCCTGACCACGGAGCCTGTCTGCCTGCCTGTTGCCCAACCTCAGTCTGTCTGACCACGGAACCCGTCTATTGCCTCAGTTCCAGCCTGAATCTGAGTTCTCACCTTCATCTGCATCCCTCACCGCTGAACACCGCTGCTGTTTTCAGAAGGCCACGCCACCCGGAACTGACTCCAGCTGGTCCCGATCGCTTTAACAAGTCCTTAAACTCTTTAAAACTTTCTCTGTGTTGGGCTGTTATTGGATACGACTGATCGTCATTAGGTCTGACCGTGACAGTACGATCTCGCCATTTAACATGGATCTGCAGCCAAGCACCGAATGGTGTACTAAGGTAGAGGGTTCTATCTGGAGGGCAGCATTCATGAAATTGTTCAGGGAATGGCTAACCTTAAATCTACTCACTCCACCAGCAGCGCCACCACTTCTTCTCCCAGAAGACTTCCGGTTGACCCTATCTGGGAGCCCAAGTTGCCTCCTCCTGAGCAGTTTGCCTGAGAACTGGAACAATGCCCCTTTTTGACTCAGTGCTACCTACCATATATTTCGAGCGGGCCAAAGTAGCCTACACTATTGGGCCATTTCCATTTGTACCTGGTTAAAGTTAAAGTTAAAGTCCCATCAGTTGTCACACACACAGGTGTGTGTGTGCGAAATTTGTTCTCCGCATTTAACCCATCCCCTGGGGGAGCGGTGAGCTGCAGACACAGCTGCGCTCGGGAACCATTTGGTGGTTTAACCTCCCAATCCAACCCCTTAATGCTGAGTGTCAAGCAGGGAGGCATTGGGTCCCATTTTTTCAAAGTCTTTGGTATGACCCGACCAGGAATTGAACCCTGATCTCCCAGTTTCAGGGTGGACACTCTACCACTAGGCCACTGAGCTGGTTGGCCTGGCCCAGATAGCATAGCTTGCTTACATATCTTAGTGGCCTGCCTTTTTTCAGGGTGCAACGAGACTGTTTTTCAGCCCTTTTTCTGAGGCGGTCTGCTTCAGGCTGACCAGGGCCAACACACCCACTGCTGACTAATAAACCGGCTTATCAGTCAGCAAATTCACACCTTCCATTAGAGCAAGCCTCTGGTGGGTAGAATCAGCCCACATGGGCTTGAGACATGCTCAATTCATTATCATTCATTATCATGCTGATTACCTAGAAGCTGAAAATTTTTCTGACTGCATTCCTTGCATACCTAAGCAAGGATGTGTGGAATCAACTGGGCCAGGCTGGGGTCGACTGGAGCTATCCGGGCAGGACCGATCAGGTACAGATAGGAATGGCCCATATCTCTCTCCTGTCAGGTCGAGTCAGGCAGTGGGGAACAGCTGTCTAGGAGAGCGATGCTGCCATCTGCGGGTCATTTCAAGAATTCTTAAAAGAATTGAAAAGAGTCCTTGATCCAGTTCACCCTGAACGAGAGGCAGCTCGGGGTTTGTTCTCCCTCAAACAGGGGGTGAGACCAGTAACGGAATATATTATAGATATTCATGCTCTAATGTCCAGTAGTCGCTGGTATGACGATGCTTTATTTGATGCATTTTATCAATGACTGTCTGAACGAATCAAGGATGAGTAGGCGGCCAGAGATTCGCCTAGGTCGCTCCAAGCCTCGAACAACTGGCTACTCGCATTGACCTACGACTCAGGGAACGGAGGAGAGCGAGACTGTTATGTTCTCCTCTGTGAAACCACCCCCAAGACCACGGGTCCCCTGGTAGGAACCAAACCACTCACACTGAGGGAGGAGCCCATGCAGATTGGGCGGACCAGACTGTTGGTTCAGGAGAGACAACGTCGTCTCAGTAACGGCCTGTGTTTTTATTGTGGGGAGGTTGGTCATCATGCAGCTGGGTGCCCGTTAAAAGGCCAGACTCAGTAAGGGAGGTAGGGGCTTTACTGAGTCCTATATCATGTTCTGATATGATCTTCACTGGCATCTGTCTAGCCAAGAAGTTAAACTTGAGGTTGAGACCCTTCCTAAACCACGTAAGATCTTGGCCATCAATGGCCATGTCAAAGAGACTATTACTCACCAGACAGAGTCTACATCTGTTCTCACCGCAGACATTCATAGAGAACAGAACCAGTTTCTGGTGGTTCGATCCTCAGAGGTTCCACTCATTCTGGGTCGGCCGTGGCTCATCAAGCACCAGCCTATCATCAAGTAGACCACTGGAGAAGTCCTGCCCTGGGGGACAGCGTGTCTGAGGACTTGTTTAGCTGAGCCATCGGAGACCCAGGGGAGCCCCATGAATGAGACTATGTATCCTGATCTGTCCCGAGTGCCAGAGGTATATCACGACCTGGCTGAGGTGTTCAGCAAGGCCAAGGCCACCTCTCTGCCCCCCAGCGCAGTTTTGATCATTCCATCGAACTTCGTCCGGGCACCTCCCCCTCGCAGGGGGGCCTGTTTGCCCTCTCCAAACCGGAGCGGGAGGCGATGGACAAATACCTGGCAGCTGCTCTAGATGCAGGCCTCATTTGTGAGTCATCATTTCCAGCAGGGGCAGGGTTTTTTTTCGTGGGGAAGAAAGATGGATCAGTGAGACCTTGTATTGACTACCAAAGTTTAAATGACATCATGATTAAGAACCGTTATCCCTTACCTCATGAGTACTGTGTCAAAACCTTCTACAGGGGACTTCTGTGTTCACTAAACTAGACCTTCGTAATGCCTATCACCTCGTTCGGATGAAGGAGGGGGACGAGTGGAAGATGGCTTTTAACACCCCATCTGGCCATTATGAGTACCTCGTCATGCCATTTGGGCTCTGCAACGCTCCAGCGGTTTTTCAAGCCTTGGTCAACGAGGTCCTTCGGGACTTCCTCAACAGGTCGGTCTTCGTCTACCTGGATGACATTTTGATTTTTTTTCTAAGGATCTGTCGAGCCATGTCAAGCTTGTCAGAGAGGTACTCATCTGTCTACTCCAGAATCAACTGTGTCAAGGCAGAGAAATGTGTATTCCACCAGACTACAGTGACCTTCCTGGGGCCAGTCATTTCCCCTGGAAAGATCGGAATGGACCCCGCTAAGGTCAGTGCTGTCGAATTGGACCGACCCAACCAATTTCAAGGACCTCCAACGGTTCCTGGGGTTCGCCAACTTTTACCGTCGTTTTATCAGGAACTATAGCTCTGTTGCAGTTCCCCTCCACCGGTTGACCTCAGGCAAAAATCAATTTATTTGGACAACTGAGGCCAAAGAGGCCTTTTGCAAGCTTAAAGCACTGTTTACATCTGCCCCATTCTTCACATCCCTAACCCCAACAATGCCTTTTTAGTGGAGGTGGACGCTTCCAACACCGGAGTGGGGGGCCATCCTGTCGCAAAGGTTCGAGGATGATCTCTTGCATCCCTGCGCCTTCTTCTCTCGATGACTCTCAGTGTCTGAAAAGAATTATGATGTGGGAGACAGAGAACTGCTCACTATTAAATCAGCACTGGAGCAGTGGAGACATTGGTTGGAGGGGTCACCTCAACCATTTGTGGTATGGACTGACCACAAGAACCTGGAGTACCTTAAGGGGGCTAAGAGACTAAACCCTCGACAAGCTCGGTGGGCTCTGTTTTTTGGCATGTCATGATCATGCCCTGATCTCTGTGTTTTCCTGTCTCCCTGCAGCAGCAGTAATCTCGCTGATTAATTCCACCTGTGCTGCTCCCTATTTAAGCACCTGGCTCCTGCTGCTCAGTGCGAGATCGTCTGCTGCCCTGTCACAGTCCTTCGAGCGTTTGAACCTGTCTGCCTGCCTGTTTGTTACTGACCTCTGCCTGCCTGACCACGGAGCCTGTCTGCCTGCCTGTTACCCGACCTCAGTCTGTCTGACCACGGAACTCGTCTTTTGCCTCAGTTCCAGCCTGAATCTGAGTACTCACCTTCATCGACATCCCTCACCGCTGCTGTTTTCAGAAGGCCACGCCACCTGGAACTGACTCCAGCTGGTCCCGATCGCTTTAACAAGTCCTTAAACTCTTTAAAACTTTCTCTGTGTTTGGCTGTTGTTGGATCCGGCTGATCGTCTCTCTGACCATGATATTTACACCTTATTTTTTATCATTTATACATAACAGATTAGAACATTTTTCTGAATTTTACAGAATAAGCCAGGGTAGGAGATTTTACAAACTTTGCATCCTCTATGATGCAGACAATTTGGGGAGCTACTGCCACCTACAGACCTAATCAAACCTTACAGGTAGTTGTCTCTGAGCTAAATGTATTATTATTATTATTATTTTTTACTGATCACAAATCAAGTGGGGAATTGTGAAGATGACCAAAGTTCATTAGATTAATTCACTTTGGACTACAAATGTGTCTATCTACATTGTAACCACAGCTGCTCAGACCAAGAAGGCTACCATACACAGGCGCCAATGTTCCTCTGACCATCACCAGCAGGCAAGGAAAGTGTCTTGCTCAAGGACACAACTTACATGGACAGAGCCTAAGATCGTACTGGCAACCCAACAATTACAGTGCCAACGCCTAACCCCTGAACCACAAATAGATTTTGATAGAATGTCATGAAAAACACAAAAACAATCATCTCAACATTTATGCTTTCCTAAGAATCAGTTCTAAAAAAAGAAAAGAAAACATCTCTTAAAAAAATTTAAAACATTGCATCCCTTTTAAAGTCTAAGTTTGTTCCTCTTTTTTTTTAGGAACATGCAGACCTGTCGCTGAAAACACAAACGTATTGCGTTTTATTTTGTGCTGCTTGCTGCCTAATCTATTGCTCTAAAAATAAGGATACACATTCACCCAATGACCTTTTTCATCTTTATTAGTCCTTGTCAAATTTGGAGATATTTTTGTATATTGTCCACAGTTGCGGTTTATTTCTAAACCACTGAGAGAGAACGGAAAACTTTAGAAAATCGAATGGTATTGAGAACTTTCATTTTTGGTTTTTATGACTGTTTGATTTGAGCTCATCTCTTCCCTTAACCTGTTTCTGATTCTGTTTTGTTTTTGTTTTTATTTGAAGGTGGTTCCCAGGCTGGCCCTCTCAGTAATATTATGATTATTATTATCATTACTATTTCAGCAGCAACAGGTATATTAGTGACTGTAATTGCGACAAAAAGGTGCTGGGGCTGCAAGAGACAAAAGCAAGGTAAGGACAAATGTGATGCACTAAAGACACAACAGCTTAACATTTATTCGTTAAAGTAAAAAATAAACGTGTACGATAATGTGGAAAAAGAAAACCCCATTGTAAGTTTGTTTACTTCTAGGAGCAGCGGTGAAAAACAAGGGGGCACAGGAAGATCTTATGTGAGTGTTTCTGCTGAACAAAAAATGGCAAGGTAAACCTTCGTTGTTCAACGTTACTCCATACTTCACTTTTCTTTCTTTAAGGGAGGAAATTCGTCTCACTGAAAGCAAGGAGACTGTGTCGACACTATGAATACCAAACACTTATAAAAATTGCTACTTGAACAGACATCCTTGAATCCAGGATATCTAACATTTGTCACTTAGATGTATATTACATGAGTGACGTACTGGTCAGGGTTGATCAGCAGAGTTGTGGACGACATGCCTGCTACACTTCTGAGTGTTTAAGAAAGTATTTTGTTGGTGAAGTTCAACACGTCACTGAACTCAGGGTGGTTAAATCTTCCATGGAAAGGACTTTCCTGGTGGTTTGTGTTGAGAAGGTGGATGTATAACGGAAAATGCCTCCAAGGGGAACTCCTCTGATCAGCTGACGGACGCTAGTTTCGAGAAAAAGAAGTTAAAGCTGTCTGTGAAACTTTATAGTTTTATATTTATCACTGCTCGTCCAGTGCAACATGTAAACATTCTGTCATGGCGTTATTTAGCATGGAACATTTCTACATATCATAGCCACCATGACAGGGCACTGAGGGCGGTAAAGTGAGAGCTTGTTATTATTAATATTATTTATTTATCTATCATGTCTTTGTTTAAGTTAAAGTTTTTAAATAATTAGTTACAACATGTTTGCAATGTGAATAAAGAAAATGTGGATCTTAGTCTCATTTTTAAATTTTGGTTATGTTTGCTTTAACTATGCACAAGATTTTTATTATATAAAGTACAACAGAAACGTCTGTTTAAGATGAAAACAGTGTTGGTTTCATTATTAAATGTGTGAAATAAAGTTTGTGACTTTCTAATAAAGAAAGAAGTTCAACTGTTTACACTATTTTGGGGGAACATTTTGATATTTCTCCTCAGATGTAGCCTCCCCAACTGAGTTTCATTTCCTGAAACCCTATGAAACAGTTTTCCCTTGTTGTTTATTGCTCTTATTGATTTGACATTTTCAATCCTGTTTGTATTTTTAATGCTGCACTAAAACCTGAAAAATACACACTGAACTGAACTGTTTTCAGAGTAAAAGTTTGTTTTTTCATGTTGAAAACTTCTGATCTGTACCATTTCACTGAAACGAAACATAAACAATTGTATATGTATCCGTATGTAAATAAATCTTGTTATTGTTTTTCACGGTGAGGCTTTATAGTTTTACAAATGTATTTCAGTAGCTAATAAGTCATTTGTTTTAGCTTTTTCTCTCTTCATGATTTAGTTCAAAACTGTAAAATGGCGTCAACCCCCCCCCCCCGCCCCAACACACACACACACACACACACACACACACACACACACACACACACACTTTTCTCAGTAGTGTTGCATACCTGTGATCTTTTCAGGTGTAATGATTGTTAACTTCCACTAGATGGTGGACAAGCACCACAAAGTATAGACCAAAGGCCCGCAGTCATTGGCTCTTGCCTTTGAAATGAGACTTTGCGCAGAAATGACCTGAACCTTAAGCAATGTCTCTATAGTAAAGAGTATTTTCAGCAGTTTTTCCACCACAATTAGGTTGTTTCCCATAATTTCAGAACCAGAACTTGTAGTACATCAACTTGCATTTGCTGCATAAATCCACCAGAAAACCAACAAAATCTAGAATTCTTGAAATTCACAAAATCTTAAGGCATCAGGAAATGACAGCAGAGGTGGCTCTAGAAAACAAAGGAAGTAGAAACAACCCAGGCGTTGAACAAGAAAATGTTTTCTTCATACAATCGTTCATAGTTTTTCCTTTATTTGTTGTCTATTCGTTTAACTCTCAGACATGAATGAGAAAAGCTCCATAAGGTCACAGACTTAAAGCTAACCGTAACTTTTGTGCCTCAGTTATGAAGATGCCTCCCATTGCTGGACGGGCTGCAGAACCCTGGTGGCTCTCAGGAGTTTCTGTTTCCAGAGATGAGATGATATTTGTGAAAGTGTCCTTGGGGTCTGAAGAATACTAAGAGAACATGTTGTATACAGTATATCGAATAAAAAGGACTTGTTGTTTCCTGCCAACAAAATACTAATAGGTGCAGAAAAGTAACCATAAAGCAACATTAACAGGATAAATCACAGCACAGTGTTTGGATTCATATGTTGCTCAGCTGTAATGTTTCTCTCAGTAATCTTTCTGGTTCCAGAGATCTTTCCTCAGCCCTGTTATTGTTATGAAACCCAGCTCCATGTTTGTCTTTGTCCCGCGAATCTCTGTGACAGCCTGTCACTCCACGTCTCTGCTTGGTGTTTACGTTTGTGCAGCAAAGCAGCACCAGGCTGGTTGCACTTCAGGAATTTAACCCCGGGGTCCCTGCCATCCTCCTCCTCTTTGCACCTCTCTATATGTCCTTCTCATTCCCTTCTCCTTACCCTCCTCTGCGGTCATTCTCCATCTCTGCTCTAATTATCCATCACCCCCCTTCCTCCTCCTGTCCAAGTCTTTTTCTCTTTTCTGCTTTCTCTCCTCCAGCTCCCTGCTCACCTCCCCCTCCCCCCTTTGCTCTTTTTCTATTCCCCTTTTAAAATTCAAAGAGCATTGTCCAAGCACCCTCACACCCCCCTTTCCTCTGTCATCATGCACTCACCTCCCGGTGTCCTCCCGCCTCTCATTCCTGTGCTGTGTAACCCAAACAAACCAGCGAGGACCTTCCTCTGCAGTGGCTACAGGAGAAACACACCACATGCCAGAATTGGCTGAAACATAAACATTAGTCAATTTAAGAGACTCAAACTAGGATATGAGGCACTTAAGGTTTAATGTAAAATGAGGCTATTGTGAGGAAACCTTTACACTCAAACATACTGGAGAAAAGATTTAGATGAGAAATAATGAATAAAGTGTAAAGCAGAGGAAAAGGGGGCTTGGTAATTAGCAATAATCCTCACAGACTGTTGTGTTTTCCGTTGGCGCAGCAGAGTGTATAATCTCCTCCTTACTGGGAGAATGTTTCCAGTCAGAACAGTGGTATTTCTCAGCAAGAGGTTTCTGATCTCTGCCACGCTAATCTGTGCGGGATTTATAATCAGATTAAACTAGTTATGAAAGTCAGCTAGATTAGTTTTAGTGCAGACAAGTTCAGCACAAAGAACCGATTCACAATAGGAGCTGATCTGTTTCACAAAGACTGGAACGGGGACATTTGCAAGCCGCCCTGTAATCATGGACAGTGAGAAACAATAAGATGCATCAATAGTAAATGGTCTGTATTTGTGTAGTTCCTTCTTAGGGTTCTACAACCCCCCAAGGTGCGTTACAACACAACCAGGTATTCACACATTCACACGCTGGTGGAGATGAGCTACGATGTGGCCACAGCTGCCCTGGGGTGCACTGATGGGGGCAAGGCCTGCCAGACGCTGGTGCCACCGGTCCCTCTCACCACCACCAGCTGGCAAGGAGGATTAAGTGTCTTGCCCAAGGACACAATGGCAGAATTTTCTGGTCAGAGCCATGATTGAACCTGCAACCTTCCGATTACTGGACAACCCGCTCGGCCTCCTGAGCAGCTGCTGTCCCCAGTACTGTGAAAAACAATAAGATGAAACAATGCGTGAAACTTAAAGGAATTTATTTTTATTATAGTTTTTTTCCCACTAGGACCATAACATGGCCTAATAAAAAATGGGTGGACCCAATAAAGTATTCGTCTTCGTCTTCCTCCGCTTATCCGGGTCCGGGTCGCGGGGGCAGCATCCCAACTAGGGAGCTCCAGGCCGTCCTCTCCCCGGCCTTGTCCACCAGCTCCTCTGGCAGGACCCCAAGGCGTTCCCGGACCAGATTGGAGATGTAACCTCTCCACCGTGTCCTGGGTCGACCCGGGGGCCTTCTGCCGGCAGGACATGCCCGAAACACCTCCCCGGGGAGGCGTCCAGGAGGCATCCTGACCAGATGCCCAAACCACCTCAACTGGCTCCTTTCGATCCGGAGGAGCAGCGGTTCTACTCCGAGTCCCTCCCGAATGTCCGAGCTCCTCACCCTATCTCTAAGGCTGAACCCGGCCACCCTACGGAGGAAACTCATTTCGGCCGCTTGTATCCGCGATCTCGTTCTTTCGGTCATTACCCAAAGCTCATGACCATAGGTGAGGATTGGGACGTAGATCGACCGGTAGATCGAGAGCCTGGCTTTCTGGCTCAGCTCCCTCTTCCCCACGACAGATCGGCTCAGCGTCCGCATCACTGCAGACGCCGAACCAATCCGCCTGTCGATCTCCCGATCCCTCCTACCCTCACTCGTGAACAAGACCCTGAGATACTTAAACTCCTCCACTTGAGGTAGGACCTCTCCCCCGACCCGGAGGTGGCAAGCCACCCTTTTCCGGTCGAGAACCATGGTCTCAGATTTGGAGGTGCTGATCCTCATCCCAGCCGCTTCACATTCGGCCGCGAACCTACCCAGCAAGAGCTGAAGGTCAGAGCTGGATGAAGCTAGGAGGACCACATCATCCGCAAAAAGCAGAGACGAGATTCTCCTGCCACCAAACTCGACACACTCCACACCACGGCTGCGTCTAGAAATTCTGTCCATAAAGGTTATGAACAGAACCGGTGACAAAGGGCAGCCCTGGCGGAGTCCAACCCTCACTGGGAACAGGTCCGACTTACTACCGGCTATGCGGACCAAACTCACGCTCCTCTGGTAAAGGGACTGAATGGCCCTTAACAGAAAGCCACCCACCCCATACTCCTGGAGCGTCCCCCACAGGGTGCCCCTGGGGACACGGTCATAAGCCTTCTCCAAATCCACAAAGCACATGTGGATTGGTTGGGCAAACTCCCATGCCCCCTCCATCACCCTTGCAAGGGTATAGAGCTGGTCCACAGTTCCACGGCCAGGATGAAAACCACATTGCTCCTCCTCTATCTGAGATTCAACTATCGATCGGACCCTCCTCTCCAGTACCTTGGAGTAGACCTTTCCAGGGAGGCTGAGGAGTGTGATCCCCCTATAGTTGGAACACACCCTCAGGTCACCCTTCTTAAAGATGGGGACCACCACCCCGGTCTGCCACTCCCTAGGAACTGCCCCCGATGACCACGCAATGTTGTAGAGACGTGTCAACCATGACAGCCCTACAACATCCATAGCCTTGAGATACCCAGGACGAACCTCATCCGCCCCCGGGGCTCCGCCGCTGTGTAGTTGTTTGACTACCTCAGCAACTTCTGCCCCCGAGATCGGACAGTCCATCTCCAGGCCTCCCAGCTCTGGTTCCTCCTCGGAATGCGCATTGGTGGGATTGAGGAGCTCCTCAAAGTATTCCTTCCACCGTCCGACTATAGCCTCAGTTGACGTCAGCAGCTCCCCATCCCCACTTTAAACAGTGTGAGCGAGTTGCTGCCTTCCTCTCCTGAGGCGCCGGACAGTTTGCCAGAACCTCTTTGGAGCCGATCGATAGTCTTTCTCCATGGCCTCACCAAACTCCTCCCACGCCCGAGATTTTGCCTTGGCAACTGCCACTGCTGCACTCCGCTTGGCTATCCGGTACTTGTCTGCTGCCTCCGGAGACCCACAGACCAGCCACTCTCTGTAGGCCTCCTTCTTCAGCCTGACGGCTCCCCGAACCTCTGGTGTCCACCAGCGGGTACGGGGGTTGCCACCACGACTGGCACCGGCCACCTTACGACCACAGCTAGCAACAGCCGCATCGACAATCGCAGAGTGGAACAAGGCCCACTCGGACTCAATGTCCCCCACTGCTCTCGGGACGTGGTCAAAGCTCTGCCGGAGGTGGGAGTTGAAGACCGTCATGACAGGTTCTTCTGCCAGGCGTTCCCAGCAGACCCTCACTATGCGTTTGGGTCTGCCAGGTCTACGCGGCATGTTCCCTTGCCGTCTGATCCAACTCACCACCAGGTGGTGATCAGTTGACAGCTCCGCCCCTCTCTTCACTCGGGTGTCCAAAACATACGGCCGCAGGTCAGATGATACGACTACAAAATCTATCATCGACCTGTGACCTAGGCTGCCCTGGTACCAAGTGTACCGGTGGGCATCCTTATGTTCGAACATGGTGTTCGTTATGGCCAAACTGCGGCTTGCACAGAAGTCCAATAACAAAACACCGCTCGAGTTCAGATTAGGTGGGCCGTTCCTCCCAATCACACCCCTCCAGGTCAAGCTGTCATTGCCCACGTGAGCA